AGATACTGATAGTGATTCACAGGGAAAAATTGTGTAACAAATAAAAACAATGGAAATTGGGATAAAGGCTTTTAGTATTACTTGGAAAAATGTGGTTGTAAGTTTTTATTGGCCGAATCCTTTCTTATTGGCTCTGACGGTCAATTCTCGGAATAAAATTCGTTCAAATTTCAGTTTCGATTTACTCTCGATCTCACAAATGTCATGAAAGGTATTTTCGTAGTAAAATAGTGAAGTATTACACAATATAGTATAATCACATTACAGTTAACGTTGGATGTTTAATAATTTACTACGAAAATACGTTTTATAACATTTGTGAGATGGAGAGTAGTTCAGAACTCAATTTTGACCGAATTTTTATTACGTGAATCGGCCTTATTACATTATAAAGGTTGCGCTAACTGTAAGTGCACTGTACTAAAACCCGTACGTGTGCGAGACCTTATTCTATTTTTTTTTTTTTTGTTTTGAATTATTTTTCGTTTGTGATTACCATAGATGAAAAATGTAATAAGAAACAAACTAAGGAGTTTAATTATTGATAGGTTCTTTTTAATTTTTTGTTTTTGTTTTATTAATTAATAATACTTGTATAATTCATCCAAAATAAATTTATGTCCAGCAGTGGACTGCGATAGGCTGTTGATAAATAGGTATGCACACAGGAGAGTCTGAATAGTATAGAAAGGAGTAGAAAATAGTGTGTTTGTTTGTTACACATTTAGACCTATACCACTTATCCGATCATCACAAAATTTCATTTACACTTCCTTAGAGTAAGTACTCTACATTCGGATAAAAAACTAATATTCTCTAGGGATAATTCAAATAATTTTCAAATGCAAGCGAAATTGTATTAGCCAATTAAATTGTATTAGCATCTTATTACTTCTAATAACCTTAAACTCTAAAATCCTTAACTCAGCTAAGAAAGAAATGATAGTCGAAACCGTCCAACATTTAACAAGCTTAAAAGACCTTAAAATGTAATCGATTATAAGGAAACGTGTTCTAAAAGGTTATAACATGCAAATAATACGATTATTCGTTACGTTGTCCAGTAATAGGATTAACCTTAATAAATATTTTATAGACAACTGGACCTGTGTCTATGAGTTGACATTGTCAAAAATTTAAAGAAAAAAAATTTGCAAAAAATTTAATTGAGACACGAAAAGCGCATGCTTAATACTCATTCAGGAACGACGTGAAACAAGGACAGATATAAGATAAAACGAGACAGGAAGAGGATTCTTAAAATTTGGGTAAAATAACTTTGGCTGTCGAATGTTACATATTACTCATTATGTTATGTCACTGCTCCGTTGATCCATTTTTAAATCCAAAAATTAGGGCATGCCACAAATTTCCTATTTAAAACTAAGATTCGATTTTTAAATTTAATTTTCGAATAACGTACCATAATATTTTATCAATGTCATTTTATTCTTTTTAATTTTTTTTTCTTTACTGCAACACAGCAACATCTGCGAGGTTATTACATTCAGCCAGCACTGTTGCTAACTGCATTAGACAGATTTTAGGTCACTCATATTAACACCGGTGTATAATATAAATAATAATCTACTTACATATGTTTCGAAGACCGTGGAACGATGAAAAACACTTAGGTCTATGCATTTGTTAGGAAGTTGAACTATTTAACATACTAAACGACTGAAACTTGGACACAAATTCAACACATAAAGGTTATGGGAACAAACACCAGCTATTTTTACACTAAGAACATCGGCTGCAGCTATATATATAGTATAATGTTAACATTTAACGCGTTCTGCTATTAAAAATATGTGGTAACTAGTTTAGTGGTGAAAAAAATCAATTGTAGGCGAACCGTGGGGTGGCCATTTTGTATCTGGCCGGGTGAGCAGGCCTGGCTTGCCGCGCATGCGTCCTAGGCCGCCCAAATACTATCTATGATAGACATAGATTGTATGGGAAGGTTTAACAGCCTCGGACTACATTTTTGACTTTGACGCTTCACAAAAAAAAACATAAAATGGAACATTTCTAAATTTAAATTTTAGCGCCTAACTTCCATTATTTGACTTCGAAAAGAAAACCCGAAAATACTTACTTTAAATTTTGTTAAATTGTAAAATAAAGATGAAAATTATATTATAACTGTAACTTAATATAATCTAATCAAGCATGTTACAGGATAGGTAAAGAAACAGGTATGAAAGAGGTATATTTGTGGCAAAAACTACTTCTTTATAGTTCACTGTAACGCCGATAGATGGCACAGGCTAACAGAATTTAAAAAGGCAAGGCAAGACTTGTTGTTATTTTATTTGTCACTGACTTAGACATAAGGACTATATTTATATATAAGGATTATATTACACGCTTTATATTAGCTTCACTTGTGTGTTTGTTTGTATGTTTGTAACCGACTCCTTTGGGCGTGATTTTGACTGACTTTAAACGGTCAGAATTCGTTCAAACTTTGTAGATATATCGAGGACCGATGACAATACACTAATTTAGAAAAATATTTAAAAAAAAATAGTTTAAAAAAACCAAAAAACACGCGTGGGGTGTGCTTTTTACTATTGACAACAGGCACCAAACGCTTTTTTTCAAATTTATTAAAATTTATTTTCTATTTTTTAGTTTGGTTTTCTATAAAAGCGTGTTTTTTAGTTTTTTTTAATCTATTTTTTTTATTTTCAATTACCAGAGGGTACAAAGAGTAAGATAGTGAAATTAAAACTGATGATAAACATACCTTTATATTACTAAATACATTGACATCATACATACATACACACAGAAAAAGGATTGTGGTCTTCACACAATCATCTGTCCTTGGTGGGAGGGAACCCCATGACCTTTGGCCAGGCATGAGTTAAGCTTTCTAGCTACTAGAAAAAAAGGTCACAAACAAGTATTTTTTTAGGTATAGGGAGCAAAACTGATTTTAAGTTGACGGTAAGCTACTATCGGACTCAAGAGCCACGAGCGCATTGCCCCCCCTCCCCCCTGCCTCCTCCCCCCAGTAGTAGGGGGTAGAGGGGTGTAAGTTTGGCCTCTGTTAAGATTACTCTACTGGTAAAAAGCATCTAAAGAACTGCTTAAGACCGGCTTTCTGTGAGGCCGTGACCGACCCATGTCTGCTGAAACATTCATCTCCCATCTTTTCTTTCTCCGTTCTTTCCACGTTAAGTCTTTTTGTTTATCCTCAAAAGCGAGTGATGGTACAATGACTACTTTAGTGATAGCATTGGTGATGACGTGAAACAAAAAGCCTCGCCCAAAGCAATGAGGATAAAATTGTAATAGTTTATTGCATATAGTTTAAATCAGAATATTTTATTGATTTGTCCTGTTTTGGTGAATACAGCTCTGTAGATATGTATTTATAAAGGGATTTAGATAGCTAGGAGCACCATATTTTACACCATAAGTAAGACATTTTCAAATAATCAAACTGTACGGGCCTGTTGGTTGGCAATCCCGGCTGCTAAGACAATGGTCGTGGGTTCGAATCCCACACAGGACTGAAATTAGGTGATGAGCACCATCGTTGGTATTGTATCTGAGCCTAATTTATATATTTTATAATATGTATGTATTTATATATCATTACGACTCTGTTCCCCCCTTCGAAGACAAAAGCCGTGAGTGTATGTAAAAAAAATAGAGTTAAATTTAAAACTATCTATTCGCTTTTTGTGCTTGTTGAAAGCTCAGAGAATATTTCCTTCGGGTACAAAGTTTAAAACTAATTAATTTGCGCCATTTGGTTTGTTTTTGTTTTATTTAAAGAAACACAACTCCCGCAGTAAGAATATATCCTGTGTCGCGGGGAACTTTACAAACATACGTGACACAAAGAATACCCAGACTCAGAACAACAATTTGTGGATCACACAAAGTGTCGTCCCATGTGGGGTTTGAACCCACAACACTCAACGTAATAGGAAACGGCGTGGAGACCGCTAAAACCTCTACGCCATCCGTGCAGTCAATTTTAAAACCATGTGTGTAAACTTGACACAAACCCTAAACCAACCCGCGTCTGGCCAGCGTGGTATAGTAGGCCAAACCATCCTTTCTAAGAAGAGGCTTGTGTCCAGCAGTGGACAATTAAAGGCTGTTGATGTGTGTGTAAAACATTGTTAAAGTTAAAACCATTATTTGTTTTTTGTGAGTGTTTTTGCGGCGGTCGATGTGTCGGAACCAGGGCCGACTAAAACCGCACAGTTTTCTGTACTGTGCCTTAAAGGAGTATACTTACTGATAATTAAAGCAATTCGTGCAAAATTATTCCATAACCATTCCAAAATATCAAAAATGCACAACGTTAACATTCAAGTTCTCACTTCTCCCGGAGTGCAACCCGTCCTTTTTTTGTGCCTGTCTGAACTATGTGGTTGCTCCGGCTAATCTAATCAGTCCACCCAAACCGAACGTAATCGTACTTTAACAACTGAAACTAAAACTACCGTTCTAGAAGTATTAATAATGAATGTCACACACGAACTCCTCACACAACAGGATAAAATTGACATCCTGAAAATGATTTTCAGGATTATTTTTCCTTTAAATAATAATAATAACGACACACATCTCACACACGGCCGTCTGGTCTCAAACTAGGCAAAGCCGTTACTATGATAACCAGACTGCCGATAAACATACTTATATATTTCTAAATACAAACATATCAATTATATCCAGACACAGAACACATGATCCTGATTATCATACAGTGTTTTGTCTTGGGTGGTAATCGAACCTACGACCTCCAGCTCAGCAGCCAGGGTCACTAAATGCTAGACCAACAGGCCAGTCAATAACAAAACAATTAAGTGCATAATTAATTCGAAACGAATTTCATAAATTATGTCTCGTGTCCTGATTTTATTTAAATAATATGTGGTTACTGTAGAAGGCGGCCATTTTCAATTCCAATTGTAACACAGCGTTTAACAGTGGATTATGTGACTCAGTGAAATAATACAGTTAAAATGTTAATTTTAATACTTTTTGCATTTTTAGTGACCAATATTAGTGCAATTAAATGTATAGGTGAGTGTTACGTTACATTTAACTGTAATTGGGTTAAAACGTAAGATTTATTTAAAGTGTTATCTTTATAAATACATCAGGACATATAACAATATAAATTAACTTCCTTTGTTTTATAACTAACTAAGCGTAGCTATACGAATTCTTTGTTAAAAACCCTCTAATTTAAAAAATCTTTCAAATTGAATTCTACCAATAAACCAGGATTGTTAAATTTAATTTAAAAAAAAATTGTATAATTATTAGGTCATTCTTTTGTATCCTTTTTTATTCTTAGAATAACTTATATACTTAATTGTATACTGTGAAATTCATAACGTTATTATATAATAGTAATTAGACGCTAAATACATGTACATTTAGATAATCAAAAAGTTTGTTTGGGCGTTAACTGTCAAACTTTGAAACGTTTCAGTTTAAAAACTTTTATGGAATTCCCAAAAGAGTGGTCTGAAATGGTGACAGTCCTGAACTGACGTAAGTCTCGGAGGGGCATCCATAAATTACGTCATATGAATTTGATGAATTTGAATAAAGCCTACTCTTCCTAGGAGATTACATTCGCACAGTCTATACTTAATATTAAAAGCTGAAGAGATTGTTTGTTTAGGAACTGCTGGTTATAATTGAAAAATTATTTTACTCTTTGATAGCCTATTTATCGAGGAAGGCTATATAACATCACGCCATGACCAATAGAAGCCGATCATCAATAAAAAATGTTGTAAAAACGGGTAAAATTTAATCCTTTTGAGAAACGCAGTCGAAGATGCGCAGGTCAGCTAGTGTGTCATATAATTTACACCCTAAAGGGAATCAATACTGTTTAAAACTATTATTTTTTTAAACGGGCTCAAAGCTAAGTGGTTACTGCGCGGGTTAGTTAGGTGAGCTCTAACAGCATACTAGCCATGATTGCACAGAGGTTAGATTGAAGGTACATGGGTCACTGCAGGGCCGTCACTTTAGGTAGTTCCTTTAGACTTTTGCCAGTTATCAGGTCGTAACCGGTGTTAAGCAACTCTTTCGTTGCCTTTCACTGAGTGAGTGAGGTTCATCATCATCATCATCAACAGCTTTTAATAGTCCACTGCTGGACATAAGCCTCTCCTTAGAAATCCAAATCCCCCCTCCCGCTGGCTTGAGCGGGAGGGACTCCAAGGGCAGAAACGCACTTGTAACTTATAAGTTGCAGGTGTCCATGGGCGGCATTAGTTGCTTACCATAGGTGACCCGTCTGCTCGTTTGCCCCCTTATACCATAAAAAAAACCGTAGGGATACCGAGCTTGTGAGTTTGGTTTAATACATCGATAACTTCATGAGTTTTTGAGGAGCCCATGTCAGGGTTTGGGACAAATACATTTTTCAGATGTTCAGCAAACACAAAAGCTTTATGTTTTAATAATGAATTTATTTCATTTGGTTTATTAATATTATTATTTGTGTTTAGTATCGATTGTTGTCCGTTTGTTAGTACGTCTTCGTATGTTTGTTTTAAAGTTATTTGGGGGTTTTGTCATTGTTGGCGGCTTTAGGAATATCTGCGTATACCAACTGTTTTACGAGTCTTGTCTTGCGTTCTGGTACTTTAGGAAACTTAATATTTTGAAGTTCTCTTTAGATTTTGCAACCATTATAGTTTGCAGGTTGATTAACATCACAGGGAATACACTTCACATTGTCTGATCTTCCTTTTCTTGGACAGTGTATGCAGAGATGATCACCCACGCATTTAATGCATATAGGGTTACGGTGGCAGTGTGCTTTAGTATGCCCATATTGTTGACACTTAGCACGTCGAGGTACTTCACGCTTTGGTCGAGGTGGTTCGAGAGGTACCGGGCAGAGGTCATTTTGATTCATGATGATTCACGGGCATGAGGGTTTTAATTCGAAATATGTGTCTATTGTTTGCTTTTGGTACCAATCCCACTATGAACATCGGTAACAGTTTCTTAGTACTCCTTTGTTTGACATTCCAGACATTGGTACTAGTATGGCCTATGTTAGTGACAGCATCTTTAATCTTTTCTGGATTGGTTGAGGGATGCATGTTCTTGAGAACAACTTTAAAAGATCGTTCTTGTTTAGGCTTATAGATAAAGTACTCGGTATTTTTGTGAGTCAGTTGTTTAAGTATGGTTCTATAAGTCTCCGGTGCTTTAGACTGGATCTTAACTGGGTCGTTATGAAGAATTTTTAAGACATGTACTTGGACATGTTCATTTAAAAGTTTGAGAAAAGGTTTGATATTTTTTACTTTATCCACGAAAATTGGAGGTGGTTTAGTTTCCTTCTCCTTTGTGGTTGTTGCTTCTTGCTCATTCTTATAGAAGATATCGGCAAAACTGTTTGCTAGTGGTATAGGTTGTGTTCGGGATAGCCAGTACGTATCGAGTTTGGTTGTTTTTGGATGCCTGTATTGTCAGGACTTGAGTTAGGCCTCTGTTTCCCTGTAATTTCTGTCCAGCCGTCATCTTTGCCCTGGCTTAAGTCCTTCTGCATTCTTTGTTTAGCATAAGTGGTAGTTAGAGAATCACTAAGCGATAAAGTTCTAGGCCGACTTTCAAACATTCCCTTGTGAAATATCTGCTGAGTAAGAGTTTTATTTATGTTGCTATTGTGGATAGTGTTGTTTGTAGGTTAATTTTTGTTATTATTTTCATTCATTTGAACTCCCACGAGTATAGGACGATATAATGGTTGCTACCAGGGTGACGCCTATTTCCAGTGGAAGGCTACATAAGTCGACGAGTCGCCCATGTCGTCGAGTTTGCTGGTTCCTCCTCCTAGTCAATGAGTCCTGGTGGCGTAGGATTGAGGGGTTTTTTTTATAGAGGTGTCCATCCTCGCAGTCAAGTGGCAAAGCTTAGACCACATCGCGGCGGTAAGACCCGTTATGGAGGATTGGCTCGAGAGGCGTCACGGGACCCTCTCATACCGACTGACGCAGGTAATCACTGGGAAAGGATGTTTCGGGGATCACCTGCCGGCTCGTGGCCCAGAACATTTTTTCTATTATCTGCAATGATTTTATTGTTTTGTAATTTTTAGAATGTATTAGAGTTTTTAAACGGTAAAATATAGTTTTTATTTATTTGTTCCAGAGACCTTTGAAGAAATTAATGTCGAGATTGATTTTAAAGAAATCTGTCACGTCAACAAGACACATAAATTACCTGCAGGAGCTGGAGTAGTTGTGAAAGTGAAGAATAAAAGAACTAATAAAATAACAAATGCTATGTATGTTTTATATATCATCATAATCGTCTAAGCCGAGAGTCGTCCACTGCTAGATATAGGTCTCTCCCAAGGCTCTGCACAACATCCGGTCATGTGCTGCCCGCATCCAACGGCGAGACTGAATTTCCAAACTTGAGTGGCACTTTGCTCGCAGAAAAGACGGCCGATGCGATAAAAAGTTCTGGAGTGGCGAGACATCTTTCACCAGGTCGTCGGACCAGCTTATAGGGACATACCCACGTTACGTCTTCCGGTACGTCACTCCAGAACTTTTTGGCCCTTATCGGCCGTCTTTTCTGCGAGCAATGTGTCTCGCCCACTGCCATTTAAGTTTGGCAACTCTCGGGGCAATGATCACTTATAATATAATAATTCAATAATAATATTCTACCACATTCACACAACGCCATCCAGTCCCAAACTAAGCAGAGCTTGTACTATGGCTACTAGACAACTGATATAATACATAAATACTTTTTTTTGTAAATACATACTTATTATACATAGAAACACCCAAACCAGTTCAAACATTAAATGTTCATGCACACAAATGTTTGACTTGAGCGGGAATCGAACTCGCAACCTTTGGAATAGCTAATATAATAATATATATAATTTAATAGTCGTTACACAAACCACTACGCCATTCGGTCGTGTGTGTGTGACCTTGGTTCGTCTGCGGATCTCCTCATTTCTGATTGGATTACGCGGAGAAACTCCGAGCATTGCCATTATTCTAAAAATCTTATAAATGTGTACGGTATAATCATGTTTAAGGGAATCGACGCGCTCATGGTAGGAATTAAGTTAAGACTTGTTTGCATTTGCTTTCGTCACGGGCTAAGTGGTACAGTAGTGCGCGACTTCTGCGTCAAGCATTTCGAAAGCATTATTTTGTACTTAATAACTATCATGAGCTCGTTAATGCCCGTAAATCTATGGTAGTATTTTGGTCTATGGTAACACTCTCTGTTTAATCTCTATGGAAACAAAAGAATCTGTTGTTTTCTCTGCGACTGTGGTATCACTCCTGTCGATTATGGCACGCGCCTGAAAAAATTAATTAAGCTGATTTCGATTCATACGATCGACATATTGATTTTTCAGAGAACTGAACGTAGATCTCATGCCTACGCTAGTTGTACCTATCATGGAGTAGTTTGTATTTGCTCCGTGGTATCTACTAAATACAATATACTGTTTATTACTGTTATATACTGTATTTAACCGTGTTTAAGTTTTTCTTCTTCAACATTTTCAGAGTCAAAAAAGAAAATCAGACAAAATCAGAAAACTTTACTTTCAACATGTTAAATTTGACAGCGTTTAAACCTTTATACGTAAGTTGAAATTATTTAGTGAAAGAAAATAATAATACTAGAGGTGCACCGAGTATAATAACTGGTGATATAGCTTAACAAGCTATATCACCAGTTATTATACTCAGTGATGATAAGTGATTACTGCCTCCATGAAGACCTCGTAATAACACACACATACATAAGTATACTCGCCCAATTATTTTATTTCTATTCAAATTTAACCACAATTACCTACTCGTATACTGTTTTTAATTATTACACAATTTACTTCGAGAATATTTTATTATGTTTACTGTGTGTCCGGTAATGGACTAGCGATATTCTAATTTATAACATTCATTTTAAAACACAAATAAACTCCTTAAATAAAAAATAAAAATTAAATAATATGTCCCAATCCATTTCCTCACAAGTGTTAGTAGCAAGCGTTCATATTGGTTGCACAGGGATTTCATTTCTGATGTACTTGAGATCCCAGCAATAAGGCCCTAATGGAATGTTGGGTGTTTGGGGATAATTTGAATCCTCAAAGTTTACTCCGCAAATTGATCAAAATTAATATGTGTGTGTCTCTCATTTATCTTATGTAGTATTGACTGCACGGATAGCGTAGTGGTCTAAGCGGTCACCTCGCCGCTTACTACTACGCTGAGTGCTGTGGGTCCGATCCCCACATGGAACAACATGTGTTTGTGTCCGTTTCATGTATGTTTGTAAAGTCCCCCGCGACACAGGATATATTCCTAATGCCTTGTCTTTAAAAAAAAGTATTAGGGATTTCGCCAAAGAAAAATCTGTCTATTGATGAATTGTATAATAACGTTCTTGTTTGTGTTTCAGATACCAAATGATAATTTTAATGAAACGTACCAATTATTTTTCAAATTCGTTTACGAAAGAGACCAACAACAACAAAATAATTTAAAAGGTTATAATCGCCCTATGTGTAACACTAGTGTCTTATACGGTAAGCAAAATAACTTGTTTTTATTTTTATAATAATAACTTGACACATCTCACACAGCAAACTGCAGCAAAGCAGACTGCTGATAAACATAATAAACGTACAAAATAAACGTATATTTTTTAAATTTACTCATTGCTCTCTCATAATTCGTAACAAAGCTTTTTACTCAGAAATTTCCTAATCTACCTACCTAAAATGACTGACTATTTATTATTTCTTTATATCCATTTTATAGATAAACTATACTCAGAAAAATAACAAACTAAAAGACTCATTCCTAGTGCGGGAGTTGTCTTAAAAAAAAAACACCCTAAGATCTAAGAGACTTAGGCCTGATGTTAGAAGTTGTCTCAGTCGTCAAGGCCGATGTTAGAAGTTGTCTCAGTCGACAGTGTCTCAGTCTTAAAACTAATAAAACGAATTTTAAGTAGAGATTTTAATATTGAACGTCACTTAAAACGAGATTCACCGATCCATACTTAAGTGAGTGATAACTTATTTTATTATGATGTTTCTGTCGAAATCTTTACTCAGGTATAGATTTTGACAGATGTGATCTTTGTTTACGTGAGACAAGCTGAAACTAGTCTCAAGCGGTGATTTTTAGGGCATGTTAAGGGCAATGAATGTTACGATGATTTGTTTCCTACGAAAGATTCTTTACTTTTTCACGAAAGAATTACTTGTCATACGTAATCAATTCACTTTAATTTACCTTAATTGATATTAAATGCACTGAAATTCACATTTTAAACATACAATACTTGTTTAAATTAAATTCACAACCTTTTGGTTTATGCTAAAAGTATAATATTATTCTAGTAATATAAATTTTTGAAATTTAAAAATTTGCAAAAATTTCAATTTGCGGTAAAAAATATAAACATTGTTTGACAATTCAAAATGACAAGTGTTGTTAAATAATTTGAACGTTCCGTCATAGCTGATAACAAGACATTTTTATTTTATTATTTATTATATTTAATTTTGGACGAACAACAAACTTGTTATTATGTTTACATTGGTACACTAGCCAATAGTATACTGTGTAGAAATTCACGGAAATGACGGTAATAACAGTTTTTTTTTTTAAATTAGCTGCGTAATACGCAATTAATAATAATGAAGATCATGCGGAAACGTAATTGAGAACAGACTGTAAGTTCAAAACAATACTTGAAAGTAGTTTCAACTGAGTAAAACCTAAAACGCGTTCTTCGATCGATACTTAAGTTTTGATCTGCACTTAGAACTAGTTTCAGGCAATCAGAGTTCAACCGATATTTGAGACGTCTTTTAAAATACGGGCCTAAGTATCGTACTTTATGAAGTATTTTTTAATTCTTAAGGTAGTTTCAGTAAAGGCTATTACCACCTCCTTAGAACCCTCAGCAGTTGAATAGAGTTCACAAACATGAGTGACGCTGCAGAGTACGATGAACAAAAAAACAAAGCGTAGTCTGAATTAGATGGAATTCAATCCTAAAATCCAACTTATCGCAGCCGATGTAAGCCATCTTCTAACTTAAGCATTTAGCTTAACTAGAGGGATTAGGAAAAATATCGAATTATAACAATACCGTCCAGACCGTACTCGTCCACAGCGACTTGGGACTGATTCCGTTGTCAGAGCCAAGCGAATTGCGCAGGAGATACTCGTATTAACGAAACGAAACGTTAAAAATGACGAGATGTGTTCGCGTCAATTTTGTGCACTGTTATTCCTAACTATAGAGATATAGGAAAAAATACCTACTAAAAATCTGTACCACTGTTGCTTATATTCTTACCTAAAAAAATCCTTATACCTTATTTATATATTTTATTTTAACAATTTCAGAGTCAGTTCCCAATACAGCTGCGGTCTCACAAGACAATGACAAAGGTAAATTGTCTTCTTTGATATATTACAGTATATATTGTGTTTGATAAGAATCAGACTGAACTAAATTGAATTGTTTTTCGCTCTGATCTTTTGGTAGATTTTTCGTGGCCATATCTTTGAATGGTTCATGATTAGTCCAACCATTACTAATGTGAAACAGACGTATTTCATGATATAGTCAGGCAAAACCTACCACGTCGTCTCTGCAAATAATTCGTTTTGCCATTTCATTAATGTGATTATACATTACACACATCACATCTTCAAATGCTCATTATTCAAAGATCTGACCAGACTATTACACGAAGGGATTAACTATGTCGTGAAATTGCCGATCAAACTTCCGTTACTGCAGGCAATGAAGCGAATGACGGTTAGTGGTGAGAGATCCTCGCCGAGCACTGCAGCAAGACTCAAAGCTGCGTCACCAATCACTATGGAGTGCTCAGATCTTGCATGTATGATCGTTAGCGCTATTCTCTAAGGAAACAGCCTTGCGTAGAGCGTTGCCACAAAGTCGAATTTCTTACTAATAGTTTGAAATTCGACTCTGTAGCAGCGTTGTACCCAAAGCAGTTTCCTTACATAATAGCATTGCTGAGAACGAATGTTGAGCTGAATACCCATTGCATTGACAGTGATGACTAGTCGGACGTACCGTGATAATGACCAGTATTAAACCATCTTCTAACTCAAAAATTTAGAAAGAGGGACGAGAAAGAGGAATCGTCAAGAATACTAGTAATCTGTGGCCTATGTTGCTAATTTGATCATTATCATCTTCTTCTTGGTATTTTTCCAATTGTTTTAGGGTCGCAACGTATAGCATTGCAAAAGGGTTTGGTTTTTATGGCCAGCCGCCTACCTAACGCTAATTATCCTGGATCCAACAGCCTATAACAGTCCATTACTGGACATAGGCCTCTCCTCAGAAAGGAGGTTTTGGCCTAGGGTTTGAGTCAAGTTTTCCTTGTCTTTGCAGTGTTCTTGTCCGGAGTACTTTGCTATCTGAGTCGGCTCTTACGACACCCATGGGATGAATACGGGTGGTGGCACTCTGTATTCTTAAACCGTCACTACACGGATTTTAAGACGGTGAATTAGGGTGAGGTAAACCGAATAAGTCTCGCTACCGTAAGTCTCAGACAGAAACTGGGACTGAGACTAACGTAACAAATACGAATGTGAATTTGTTTGTTATGAGTATACACCAGGAGTACAGAGAACGATATAGGGTTCTTTTCATCCAGAAAAGAAGGGTAGTAGGAGTATAACTAGAGTTTTATATAAAGATAACTTTTAATACATGGGAGAGCCATTCTTCGTCACAAATGGGTCGGCTCGACCAGAGTAAGACCACGGCCTCACAGAAAACCGGTGTTAAGCAGTTCTGTCATTGCTTTTTACCGAGTGAGTGTTTCTACCAAAGCCTAAACCCCTTCTCCTGCTGATCTTGAGTCCCTTCAGAATCAACAAGAGAAGAGAGACTCAAAGACCGGCAACGTTTTTGTGACTCTAAAGTTGCATGGGCAGCGGTAGTTACTTGCCATCAGGTGACCCAAACTTCTAATTAATTTGTTATTTTGTTTGCAGAATATTGGCATCCATATGTGGCAATTGCAGGAGTTTTGGTTGGCATTGTAATAATAGCGTTACTTGCTACCACTATGTATTACAAAAGACAAGGTAAGCATACACACACGTACATACATAGATACACACTAAAACACATGGAGAGCCATGCTTCTTCACATTATCATGACTCTTACGGCACCCACGTGATGAATAGGGGTGTTGAACTCCGTATTCTTACGGAATATGCTTCTTCACATATGGGCCATCACGACAGTTTTTTTATTAATTAACTATTATTACTAATATAAATTAAGTTTAACACCGGATCAGTTAGTTTTGTTACTTTTCACCGAGTGAGTGAATGACCGGAGGACCAATCCACCGCCCTAATTCTTAGGTGGGGGCTTGTTCCCTATAAAATAGACTTCATATTAAACATGAATCTTTAAAGTTGGGAGAATAATGATCACCATTATTTCATCCACAACCCTAAACAGGCTTTGATATTGACATTTATTTTAAAAAATAATTTTAACAAAAATATCCGTTTAAAAGTTATGACCGTTACATTTTTTTTGGGAATTATTCAATTCATGATTACTCACTTAAAAAAATTGATTTTTTTATGGATTTTCTCATTAATTATATTATTTGAATAAAAATAAAATTAAATAAAAGTGCTATAAGTGTTAAAGCCAGTGTCCCATTTTCATAGACACACTATATTATCTTGGTATACAAAGAGGATCTCAAAAAGCTCTCTTTGTCACTCTAAAACTCACTGTTTTTTGTGGTATACAAATGGTAGGCAGGTCATCTGATGGTAGTGATTGTCACCGTCCATAGACAGGTGCAACTCATGAGACAAAAGTGCGGCAAACGGCTTCGGCGGAGCGGGACCGGGAGAGGTTTAGGACTCTCCCGGCCCGCCAGGCCCGGGAACGGGCCAGGTAACGCAGGCGACTCAGGCGCCGGAGATCGCAGAACGACCTCCGTTCTCCATAAGCGCAGGCCTGGGGGTGACAGGTGAGGCCTTCTGTCACCCTAGCAGAAGCAGGCCGGGGTGGCGGCGAGCGCGTTGCGAAGCGCGCTCGCTTCCAGGGAGCAGAGGGAACATGGGGTTCACACACGGGGGGGGGTCGTCTACCTGTTGTTGTAGATGGCCCGAGGTATGTCGGGGCACCAGGGACTTCATTTCTAGGGTATACCTGGTTCCCCGGCTATTAGTACCCGAGACGGCGTGCGATTTTAGTCGGTTCGAGTCCGACATGCCATCGATAGGTGGTATCCGAGGGGATTTCCGTACGGAAATAAAAAAAAAAAGGGGGGAGGCTTGTTCCTTATAAAATAGACTTCATATTAGACATGAATCTTTAAAGTTGGGAGAATAGTGATCACCATTATTTCATCAACAACCCTAAACAGGCTTTGATATTAACATTTATTTTAAAAAATAATTTTAACAAAAATATCCGTTTAAAAGTTGTGACCGTTACAACTTTTTTTGGAATTATTCAATTCATGATTACTCACTTGATTACACACAAAAATTGATTTTTTATGGATTTTCTCATTAATTATATTATTTGAATAAAAATAAAATTAAATAAAAGTGCTATAAGTGTTAAAGCCAGTGTCCCATTTTCATAGACACACTATATTATCTTGGTATACAAAGAGGATCTCAAAAAGCTCTCTTTGTCACTCTAAAACTCACTGTTTTTTGTGGTATACAAATGGTAGGCAGGTCATCTGATGGTAGTGATTGTCACCGTCCATAGACAGGTGCAACTCATGAGACAAAAGTGCGGCAAACTTTGGGTCAAATCTGGGCAGGGACAGATATCGTGGAAGAGGGAGGGATAATCCTCCGATAATTTCACAAACTTGCTCAAAAGCTATAAAACGCACACTGCTTTACGCTGATTTTCTGTGAGACCGTGGTATCACTCGAGACGGCCCATATATGACAAAGCATAGCTCTCCCACGTTAAATTTATGTCTATAATGATGATTAATTCATCATCCTCATCCTCCGAGCCTCTTTCCAAACTAGGTTGAAATAGGCTTTGAATATATCTACTACGACACGGCTGAACTTCGATTTTTTTAACTGGAGCCACTGCCATCAGACTAGGAGATATCGAAGTTCTGTAGATAGACTGTTGAATTTAATTATTGCCACAGATGTACGTATGAAAACCGGTACTAATGGTTTAACGTACTCTCCGAGGCACGGAGGGGTCTTAATATCTTAAGAATGGTCACCTATTCATAGACTGACCTGGCTAGGATTGCTTAACTTTGCAATGTGCTAACCTATCCGGTTATCAATTACCCAGGAGCTGATGATGATGATTCTGATGATTAATTAATAAATCATTCATTATTTTTACAGCCAAAATGTTGAGCCAACACATCAGTCTAGAACGAAGAGCAGAAAGGGCCGACGAAAGCGGTAAAGGATTTTGTATGTTACTGAAATTTGAATAGTTGACCGATGGGCCTGTTGGTCTCGTTAGTGCTGACTGCACTAATAAAAAATAATAATAATACACTTACAAAGGTGTGCTTTGAAGTATCCCGCTTCTTAACAAATTTGCAGTCATTAACTAGCGATATTTTACCTGCTCCACAACTTAAAGATTTTAAATCTTAGAAAAAACAAATGATTTTCCAGATCGCTACTGTTCCAACCCGCGGAAGGGCAAGAAAGTGAGCCCAATCTTAAACAACAATCGGGTCAGCGATATCTACGAAGATCCACAAATCAATTTTGGGGGTAAGTTTATACGGCCTTGATATTTAAAATTACTAATAATACAAGACTAAAGCCGAAATACCCCAGGAAATATGCTTCTTTATAATTGTCAAAGTTTTTTTTTATTTATTTATCTTTAAGAGGTGGAGAAGGTTTAACAACATTAACATTTTAATTTCAAATTTCTTTCTCTCATAAATATTTGTTACTTAATTATTAGTTTCTTTAAATTTTTTAGTTGCAACATATTGTTTTTTTTCCATGTGGAATCACACATAGCCTCACAGTGAAGTGTTGTGTCGGAATCGAAACGACCAAAACCACACGGTGTTCTGTAACATGTGTGTCTATTGCGAGGGTCTCAGGTATACCCTAGGAAGGAAGTCCCTGAGGCAGGACTTGACCGCCATAGTTATCTACACCATTAAGTACAGAGGGCCTGGTCCTCCTTCCAGCTTACAAAACATTTTACTCACGCAAAATAGTACGGAAATATTTTAGTTAATAAGCGTGAGGGAATTTAAACAACCTAGAGAACCCCTGGTAGTTAATTTATTTTAATGTTTAAAGTTCGTATAGAAACGTTCCTTGGTTAAAGAAATGATCTCAAAAATAGATATAAATAATTTTCTTCGCGTAAATAGATTAAATATAATACATACGTAATATATAGCCATTAAATATTTTAAATAGTCACAGTCTACTTCCTCCCTAGACTTAACAAAAGCTTTAGACACCGTCACTATTCAATAGCTATTACAAATATAGTAACAACTAGGCATAAAGAAATGTCCTGAAACAATTGAAAGAATCTGAGGTCAATTAATCAAATTAAAATGTTCCAATAGAAAAGTATTTAAATAAAAAATATATATTTAATTTTGGCGTGCCACAAGGCAGTAAACACTTACCAACACTTTTTAATTAGCCGACGCTGATATGTTTATCGGTGGTTACATATGTCTACACGGTTTCTTAGGATTTTAATTGATTTTTACAATTTTGAGATGTGATTAGTCACTTTTGCAGCCACAAAGTATAGCCATAGTTAGTTAATAGCACTTATCAAAATAAATTATTATGCACCTTTTATAATAATGTTTTTTTTTCAGTGAGCACAATGCCACCAGCGCTTCCAAGTAAGTATTTGTGTTTAAATAATAAAGTTAAAAAATACATTTAAACTGTGGTCGAGACCTGTTAAAAGTTCATGAAAGAAACTTCTTTTTGTTTCTTAAAGAATCTTTCTTGCAATGGTTCTCATGACAAAAACTTCTAAAAGTAGAAATATGTTAAAATTTCAATATGATGTATTTGCTATACATAGCAAACATCTTGGTATATTTTTATATCGTTGATTTTCCCCAAATAATTGCTAATTTTGTTGGGACGGCTCCTGATTCTTGGGGGCCACTTGCGTCTCTTGAGATGCGGTGGTAGTCACGCGAATATTTTTGACAGCGGGGCAAACGATAAGCCGGGTGCTTATCGTTTGCCGTTGCGTTTACTAAAAATATTCACGTGGCATTATAACGACGCATCCAATGGCTCATTAATATATTTTTCTGAGTTTGAGAATTATTTTTCAGCTACGCCGAGACCAAATAAAAATGAGCTCTCCACTCTGAAGAAACTACCTTCTCCATCTATGACTCTGAAGAGTAACGCTTCACAAATGTCTCTTACAAGACCTAGAGTACCAGGTACGGCAGTCTTCCACAAGTTCCTAACAAAAAGAAATTTATACATATGACTGCATAGATGGCGAAGTAGCGGTCTACTGTGTTGAGAGTTGTGGGTTCGATCCCTACCAAATTGTTGTTCTGAGTATGGATGTTCTTTGTGTCCGTTTTATAAATGTTTGTGAAGTCCTCAGCGACCCAGAATGTATTCTGGGTGCGGGAGTTGTTTTTTAAACAGTTGATGTGGGGGCGTTGTCTAATTCACTTAAAGCTGCTAGAACTTTACAGGACCAGAAGACGATAAGGTATAGTTTTCCTGATGACTTAAAAAGTATCAATGTGACGACATTGTTACTGTTAAAGTCTTTGATGGAAATATAATAAATTCAGAGAACGGCTCTTGAGCGAAAGTTACCTAAATCTCTAAAATAAAAATACACATCACATCAACAGCCTTAAATAGTCCACTGCTGGACATAGGTATCTCTTTAGAAAAGAGGTTTTACCCTACTATACCACTCTGACCAGACGGGTTGGTATAGGGTTTGTTTCAAGTTTTCCTTCTCTTCGCGGTGCTGTTTTCCTGCTTAGTTAGTTCCCTTAGTCGGCTCTTACGACACCCACGGGATGAATAGGGATAGTGACACTCCGCATTCTTAATCCGTCACCACACGGACGAAATAAAAATACTATCCAAGTTAAAAGAAATCAATTTTGTACTTCCTAAACTTATCTGTAAGTCTATATAGTACAGTCACTCAGGACAAGTTATTTTAAATATAAGAGTATTTAAAATTATTTGCCCTGAGCGGCCTGTCTGATTCACTTGAAATTTTGGAAGCTGATGATTCTTATATTGTAAGCACTGATTAAGAAAGCAGTTTTGGAAATTCATCCATCATTCATCATTTTCAAAGTTAACGAAATATAAAAATAAGGAAACTTAGAACAAATAACGAACCCAATAAAATACAGAGATACACATATTATGTCCAGATATTTTAGTTTACAATTACAGGAAAAATAATTATGACGGGGGACTTCCTCGATGCAATAAACAACCGTCATTTGGTTATCGTTAATTATGTTAAAACCATCAGTTTACCTCAAAATGTATTTAAAAACTAATTTTTATTTAAAGACTAGCCTTTTTTTAATTAGTTTAGTGGTTTAGGGGTGAATTATGATAAAGTATGGATTATTACAAAAATAAATGGAATTTCGTTCGAATCTGTAACCCTCCAGCGCCCACTAACGAAACTAGTCTGAGTATGTTAAAGATCATGTTTACTACCCAATGAGATGAGTCGCGTAATGCGTAAATAAAAATACGCCTGTTATCTTAAAATTTGTCCGTGCGGTGACGGATTAAGAATACAGTGTCACCCCTATTCAGCCCGTGGGTGTCATAAGAGGCGACTAAGGGAGCGAAATACGCAGGACAACAGCACTGCAGTGAGGAGGAAAACTTGACACAAACCCTATACCAACCCGTCTGGCCAGCGTGGTATAGTAGGCCAAAACCTCCTTTCTAAGGAGAGGCTTATGTCCAACAGTGCAGTCCACTGTTGGACATAAGCCTCTCCTTAGAAAGGAGGTTAAAGGCTGTTTAGGATGATGATGTGATGAGATCTTAAAATTAAAAAAAACAATGCAAATCGATAGGTCGAAAATTCCCAATGACCTTTTAACACTACAAATTACAAAATGAAGCTGGTTCACTTATCGCTGTTTTTAAATACTAGAAATCTTCAACATGGTCCTTCGAAGCAACATGGTCCTTCGAAGGATGGTCCTTCGAATTAATTATTACAAAATAATATACTGTTATAAATTTTAGGGATCCCCTGAAATAGTCTTATGAAGTAATCAGATTTTGTTGGTGATTGAGTAATTCAGCCGTGTAGGCGGGATATGGATACGACGGCCTCACAAAACATTTTTTTTTATTGAATTTCACGAGTGACTGACCCTGGTTAGGGTCCATTCCATCCTCCAAGCCTTTTTCTTAAAACTAGGTTAGGGTCGGCTTTCAGTTAACTCGACGACATGGATGAACTTCGATTTTTTAAATGGCGCGACTGCCATCAGACCTTCACAACCCAAGTACTAGGCACATAATATTTCGGACACATCCCAGACATCTGAGGATCCCAGAGATCCCAGACATCTGAAACACAACGCCACCTGGTTTCAAACTAAGCAGAGCTTATACTACCAATGCTAGATTGACTGATAGAATACTTATATACTTCTTTTTTGTAAATACATACATATTATACTCGTACATAGAAAACACCCAAACTTCGAAACAAATATAAAAAAAGTATACATAATAACGTGTTGTCTTTGTTGTTTTTTAGATAAAGAAACACAAGTAAAATTGACTATGGCCCGGCGACCGCCGTTGCCCTTGCCTCAGGATGAATTTTACTCAGGTAAGCCCATGATTTGACAATAAAGACTCTACAGTCCTTAAAGTATCTTCCTATGAAAAGTTCATGAGCGTATTCGTTTATGAAATAAAAAAGAACTAAAATAAAGTAATAAACCATCTGTATTGATAAATATTTCATTTAAATGTTGTTACACGTCACATATTTATGTTGTAGCTGCTCCAGAAGATGACACTTATGAGGAACCTCCTGTTCCTGAACGACCAAGTATGTATTTATGATTTACCGATCCCATTCTAGGTCTCTTGACCAAAAGATAAACGGCGTAGGTTTAAAAGAAGATTTGTGTAATCATCGCATCATCAGACTCCAAGTGTAATCTTAATTCTAATTTTCGAAATACACAATAGCCAATGAGCTTTGAAGGACTGAATAGCTTGCGGCGACTCCTAAATACAAAGAAACAGAGACATACTACAGCGCCATCTAACGAAGACACACCGAACTACAGAGTAACTCCTGAATGAGAATCGCTAATCCTGTACCGCGATATGAAGAATTCTCTCGCCGATTATCATATATACAACTTCCCAATTTCAACAGTTGGGCCGCGGCACGCCAGGCATGACCACCTCGCCTGGTCAGAGGATCCTCCCTTTGTGTTGGAGGGACATGACACCCATTCCTCCATAAGATGATTTCCATTCTCATAGTTATACTTAAGCACAAGCGAACCGGTTTGACCGGAGTGATGCCACGAGCTCACAGAAATCAGTGTTACCGAGCCCAAACCCCTCTTACTCCTGATTCTGGAGGAGGACTCAAGGGGTGGTAACACATTGATGATTCTTGAGTTGCAGATGTCCATGGGCGACGGTAGTTACTTACCATCAGATGACCCGTCTGCATGTTTGCCCTACTATACCTTAAAAAAAAAAGAATTATAATTCTCTTGATCATCATTAAAACAAAAAGAACTAAGTAAATCAAAATCGTTCCATTCGTTTAAGAGTTTAATGGCAAATTTGAGTGTATTCGTTTTTGACACAAATCTATAAATAAATGTAAAAGTATTAAGTTGGTTTGTGTACGCTTCAAAATTTCAAAAAGTTCTGTACCATTTAAGTTAAAATTTTAACACCATATACAAGCCGTGTCCGTGTAGTGACGGATTAAGAATACGGCATGTCACTACCCCAATTCATCCCGTGGGTGTCGTAAGAGCCGCCTAAGGGCGCAAAACAACGCAGGACACTAGCACTGCAAAAAGAAGGAAAACTTGACACAAACCCTATACCAACCCGTCTGGCCAGCGTGGTATAGTAGGCCAAAACCTCCTTTCTAAGGAGAGGCCTATGTCCAGCAGTGGACTATTAAAGGCTTTTGATGATGATGATGATACAAGCCGCTTCAAAGATTGTTTTCATCGATGTGTTTTGTACTTCCTTTCTTATTAATTCAATCACAATGCGCCACCTCAAAGCGTGCTAGCTGGTTACAGCTAGTTATACATAGTTTAGTAAAACATCATATCAATCCAAATCCAAGAGTTATCTAATAGCCACTGAAGATTTCCACTATATAGCTCCTGGCCCCAGTATGCCAAACTACATTTAATACACCGTTTTATTTTGATATGAAAATTAGAATTAGGTTAAAATAAAACTTCCAAAATTTGGTTGCACAATTAGTTCACATCAACAGCCTTTAATTGTTCACTGCTGGACATTGGCCTCTCCTTAAAAAGGAGGATATGGCCTACTATACTATGCTGGCCAAACGGGTCGGTATAGGATGTGTTAAGGTTTCCTTCACTTGTGAAACAGAACTGTTTGTACTGTCTTGCGTAGTTTGCTCCCTCAGTCGGCTGTTACGACACCCACGGGATGAATAGGGGTGATGGCACTGCGTATCCTAATCCGTCATCACACGGAGTTAGTTAGTCGGTTAGTAAAATTATTAATATTCCATTAACTTAAGTGAAGTTGCGGACTTAAACTAGTATCACATACCTAAATGGATTGGGATCGATCTATCTTCACTGATACTACACCTAAGTCTACTTACGAGAAATTATTTTTTTAGATAAAACAACGCCGACTAAAAAAGCCGGGCAAAAAGAAACAATTGGCACAATACCCAAAAAAATTACGAAACCTGCAAATATAGTTAAGCCCAGACCGGAGAAAGTTGGTAAGGCTTTAGAGAAAAAACTTGGGAAGACATTTCCAAATATACCTATGGATGGACTAAAACCCCCGGGCATAAAGCAGCCCCATAAACCTGCAGTACCAAGTAAGTACTCTTAAATACCGCTTTTATGTTATTCACGTTCTATTTATTCTAAAACTGTCTATCTTTAATAAAATGGTCAAAGAACATAACCTGTCATCTTAATTGTCAAATTATTTACAAAACATGTTCCATCTATTGTCATCTCATCATCATCATCTCATCAACAGCCTATACTAGTCCACTGCTGGACATAGGCCTCTCCTTAGAAAGGAGGTTTGTATCTATTGTATTCCTCGGTAATGGAAATGTAGATGTTATGTATTTATTTATATTATGGAATGTGTTTTTGTTTTAAAGATTTTTTAAATCTATTAATGTGTATTTATATACGTAGGTATTGCTAGGACTGACTGCATTACAATAAATAACATTTTGATCAAATGCCGTTTTGCTGTACTATTATGATTCTTTCACTTTTTTTCACACCAAAACTGTCAATGACTTCATCTATCTACGGTGGACGATGGACATATAGCCTGCCAAATAGGTTGCTTGTTAGAAATTGCTTTTTAGCGATAAGGCTGCCATTTGTACAGGATCATTCATTTGATGTACTTGTATGTATGATGTACTAAAGGTGTACAATAAAGTTTAGTATATTCTCTATTCTATTCTATTCTACTCTACTCTACTCTACTCTACTCTACTCTACTCTACTCCACTCCTACTCTACTCTACTCTATTCTATTATATTCTATTCACCTAAGATATTTTTAATAACTTGAAATGTGTTTTTGGGTACCGAATCAGATGAAACTTTATCTTGTTTTAGTTCAGACCCATATTGAGGTATTCCTTGGTAAGAGATGCGGTTAAACATAATTATGAGCAGCAAGCTGACAATCGTGTTACCGGTTCATTCTGAATAGTTTTATGGAAACCCAATGTTGTTTTAATACTCTCGTTTTTACACACACTTTTAATACTCTCGCTTTTACACTGTGCTCGTAGTTTAAAAGGGAGACAAAAGAAAGTAGTAAAAAATTAAGTAACAGCGGCACGGGTAAAAGATCAGAATTGTTCCCAAAAAAAAGTGGAAATACATTGACGTGTCTGTTGCTAGTTCACTGTGAAGTTTTCTAGCTAATCAATTTGATTTTTCAACGCAACAAAAACAGCAGTCTTGGAAAGCTTAATATTAAATGCTCATATTTTTTTTTTGTTTCCAGGCGGTAAACCTACTCCACCACGAAATAACGGTCAGTATGACTTAATATATTTTCTATGAATATCATTATCCTCCGAGCCTTTTCCCTAACTAGGTTGGGGATGTCTTTAAGCCTACTATGACACGGCTAAACTTCGATTCTTTACGTGGAGCGACTGATATCAGACCTCCACAATCACAGTACTAGGCGATATCGAGGTTCTGTAAATAGACTGTTCTCGGGCTCCATTTCAACTACCCGTACCGATTGCCACAGAAGTTAGTATGGCAACAGGAACTGACGGTTTAACGAGCTCTCCGAGGCACGGAGGGATCTAAATGTGATAAGAATAGACTGATCCAGCCAGGCTATCCTTTGCAATGTGCTAACCTTTTCGGTTAATCATGAGCGTATTATTTGTGTAAATTATTTATACATGAAATATTTTCTGTGTATAACAGACAGATACAGGTAGACAGGCAAATGCGATAAAAGGCAAATACACTAATCTCAAAGCATATGATTTGATTGCCGATATGGTCAATGTGTCTGATTTTATAATAAAATCCCAACTAGTATGCAACACTTTAGTATAAACAAATTTGAATCCACAATAAATTGTAAATTGTGGATTACAGAGAAGACAACAGCGCTAGGGATTAATTAAGCGCAAGCAATTTTTGGTGGAAATGTGGTGTGGGCTAGTGTATTTTTTTTAATGTTTTACTTCACTTTCTTTTTCTTGATCTTGTTTTCTCTTCATTGTCTATTTACCTTTTAGTCCTTAATAACTGACATATAACAGACATTGTTTCGATGTGTGCCCGACATCGAAACAATGTCGTGGTATATTTAATGATGCCATTGTATCTATCTGTTAATTAAAAAAGAGTGAGAGAGGAAAATACAAACAAACTCATGTTTGTTTGCCCTTTTTTCGCATAAGGCTCAACCCCTTGGAAACAGTGGGGGTTGTAGATTACTGCATATAATTGATAGACAGGCATATTTTCGATACGTATATATTAATTTTGCTAAATATTTGACAAAACAGAGATTGTTGCTATTGTGTATCTATGACTTTAAAGCAGATAGAACAGTATACCCACATTTTTTTTATTTACAGTTGTGCAAGTACCAATATGTCAGATTCCGGACCCGAGCTCATTGAAAAAAGCGCCTTTAGTAAAACCAAGTAAGTAATTGATTGGAAATAAATAATAGAATAAATGATCGAAATTTGTAATATCTGATACGAACGTTATATATTACAACTGGCTTGTTGGTTTAGTGGTAAACTAGAAGTCGTGGGTTCAATTCCCACCTAGGACAAATATTGTGTGATGAGCACGATTATTTGTTCTGTGTCTGGGTGGAACTTTTTTATAAAATAAATATATATATTTAGGAAATAAGTATGTTTATTTAGAAATATATAGGTTTTTCTTCGATGACATTTTAGATGAATTTGTGTATTTATAGACCTCTGTATACATATATGTATTTATATATGTTGTAGGTATTTAAGTGTATTAGGATTTATGTTTACTGGAAACGTATGCAGTAACTTTATATTTATTTAAGTATTCATTATTTTCAATGTATTTTACGCTTTAAAAACTCAAAAAGTTTTGCAACGATTGAGCTGAAATTTTGTCACGATATACAAACCTTTTCAAAGATGGAAGAACAAAATTCCTCATCGTGCGTTACACGCCCTTGCGGTCCCATCCGCGTGAGACCGAAAACAGTGTAGCAAGACTTTTTGCCGACACTTCATTGGCGCGTCGATGCTCACCTATTTTTCATATTTCATCTCTAACATCTACTAAAAAGCGAAAGGAACTTTGTTCCGACAAGGGGTACATAGAGCCCTTACTCTTTATTTATATATTTTTTGCATTACTTTTGTTCTTCATTTCTCATCATCTCAACCACAATGTGCAACAGCGAAAGGTAACCGGGTTCAGCTAGTTTCAAATAAAAATACTACCCCAAAAAGTGGAAATTTGATTGTGTTTTATTCGTTACAGAACCAAATAATGTTAAGCCGACGACGCCTCCGTCTCCAACCTTAGAACAAGGTAAGTTTTTTTTACAGTAATTGTGTTCTCACGTATTGCTTAAGGACTTAGTAAATAAGAACGACTTTGAATATTATATCGTCATATAATCAGAGCACTGGATATAAGTCTACACAGTGTCGCGGACGATCAAGCAATGGCTGCGCTAGAGTGTACATCTTGCTACGTGACTCAGTGATGCGACATACTACTACTTACTAAAGTAGTGATGTTACAACACAAAGATCGCATGCGAGAAGTTAGGTCACCTGATGATAAGTGTGACCAGCGACGCCCATGGACACCTGTTGCGTTATTTTGAATAGACGCTATGCTATTCATAATTTTATAACCTAACCTTACGATGTCGAAAATCCCTAGGTATATTAGCAATAATAGTTCTGTCTGTGATATTAAAACGATCCCAATGCAATGTGCCTCTACCATTCTCTAGAACTATGTCGGACATACATCTGTAATATGGTGCCTATCTCTAAATTCACAAAACTGTAATCAGAGCGAGTTATTGATGTACAACCCTGGCGTTTTTCTTACAAACCTTTGTAATGAAAAACAATTCATAACCGTTGTATTAATGTTCCGATATCTATTTAATTTTCTTTTTATTTTTCAGTGCAATTCATTAAGGATGAGCGTCGCGACTCAACCGACGACGAATATTGGACCTATGAACCTCTACCGCAATACCATATTTATAATAATTAGTTGCCATTATGTCTTTGATGGGAAATGTTTAAATTACATGATAAACTAAGATTATGTCAGGTATTATGTCATATATCATCTAAGATTTTAATAATAGATGCACTTGTTTCTTAGGTAAGAAAAATAGTTGCGGTTTATTGTTTTAGTAATTTTAAGGAGCTGCTTTTGCGTCACGGAAAAATAAACCATTCAATCCTCGTTAGGTTTTTTTCCTGTGCGGGTATCCCCTCGGATACCACCTATCGGTCGGATGATTATGTCGGACTCGAACCGACCAAAAACCGCACGCCGTCTCGGGTACCAGTTGCCGGGGGACCAGGTGTATCCTAGAAAGGAAATCCCTGGTAGCCCGACGTACCTCGGGCCATTTACGGCGTGTAGATGACCCTCTCCTGTGTGGGAACCCCTATGTCCCCTTTGTACGCCGGCAAAGGCGCGCGTGCTCCCAGCGACAGATGGCCTCACCTACCACCCACAGGCCTGCGCTTATGGAGGACGGAGATCGTTCTGCGACCTCCGGCACCTGAGTCGTCTACGGTACCTGACCCGTTCCCAGGCCTAGCGGGCCGGGAGAGTTCTAAACCTCTCCCAGTCCCGCTCCGCCATCTCCTTCGCAAACCATAACTTGCTCGCAGAAGGAGACGGCGGAGTTCCGCGCACTCTCGCTCCGTATCAAAACGGCAATCCTGTTACCGAGCGAGAAATTCCCCACTCCGATGGCCGCCACGCGGCCGCGCCTCTGCTCAACGCACGCCGGGCATTCTACCAGTGTGTGAAGCGCCGTGTCCACGATCCGGCCATCGCAGTGGTTAGGTAGTGCCGTGAAAGCCTCAAAATTAATTCTCTAGCGAAGACTATTTAATGAAAAAATAATAAACTGTTTGATTAGAAATACTATATCCAATATTAGATATATTTCATTTCTTTATTTCAACATGTATCAATCATTTTAAAATTAAACTTAAATTAAAATACTTTAATTTCATTTAAATTTTATAAATTAAAGGATAAATACGTTTATCATTAATTTTTTGTTGGAGACAACTGATGATGATCAACTGAGTATAGGCGATAGGTGGACCTTAGAAACATGAGCATTGTCCTAGGCTTGGCTAATAGATGGCGCTTTTTCATATTTTGGAGCCTTAGTTGTCTCCAAGTAGAACGTAGAAAGAATTTTAAGACTCACTTTATATAATTGTATATCTAGTTAAATCTTGTAAATACGCTTATATAAAATAACTCATTTGTTGTTTGAGATTAAATATTGACTTTATAGTATCTGCATATAAACAACCATTTATATTTTGGTTTGGTTATGGTTGTTTGGTTTTGGTTTGGTTATGGTTGTTTATATGCAGTGGTGGCAGGCGGGACTCGATTCCCTCCTAGCGACCGAGTACAGGTACTTTCCGAAGCAACCGTGCCCGGAAAGCACCTGCGTCAGCCGGAAGGTAAGGGTCCCGTGCTGCCGCCCTGCCCACTCGGCGATGACCGGCTGGAGAGACCATCTGACCATGGTGGCTCGGCGAGCGGCTTCGCGCCACTCGCGCACGTCTTCGGGCGGAGGGCGTAATCCGCTCTCCGCCCGGAAGTCAGCCACTCACCGATAAACTTCGGCGAGCACTTCCGCCTCCAAATCCCACGGGGGTGTTCCGGCCAAGGCGCAAGCCGCCTCGGTGGACACCGTGCGGTATCCGCGTATGGCTCTGTCCGCCAATATCCTCTGGGGGCGCCAGAGGCGCGCCCTATTCGGGGCGGTCAGAGCCGCCACCCACACCGGTGCACCATACAGCGCCATGGAAACCCCACATATTCTTAAGCCAACCACAGAGCTCGGCTAGAAAGATATACAGGTATGTATCTATTATCCATTTCTCTTGTTGCCGGTATGGCAAGATTGGGGTTCTTGTACCTCTAAGGTCTATATCCTGCAGTATTATGACAGAGTTTTAACTCTCTAAACTAAATTTGACTGCATGGATGGCGTACCTAGAGGCTTAAGCGCCGCTTCCTTCTGCGATTAGGGGTACGATCCTCACATGGGACTACACGTTGTGTGATCCACAAATTGTTGGGGTGTTTTTGTGTCCGTTTCATAGATATGTGTTAAGTTCCCTGCGACACAGGATATCTTCCTGGTGCGGAGAGTCTACCATGTAGTATTATGACAAAGCTGTAAGGCTCTACCCTATAGTATTATGACAAAACTGTCACGCTGCAATCCGTAGAAAAATAAGTATAAGTTGTAAATTAAAAACAATATTTCAATAATAATTTGCTTTTTATTTAAAAAACTAATTCTTCTATATTTACAACTGTCAATTAAATAACAATAATTATGACAAATTATTTGTAGAATGCCATAGAAGTGAAACGAAAACATTTGTATCATAATTAGTGGAAAATATATTTTTATTTGGTATGTACGGCAGGGAACAGTAGTTCCTTCCCCTAATGTCAGGCGAGGGGAGGGGGGGGGGGGGGGGGGGTTGGTCTCCTGTAACCGTAATTCACTCGTTGAAAAGCAATGAAAGAATTCGAATTCAACACCGGTTTTCTGTGAGGCTGTGGTAACAACCGGAGTGTTGTCAAGACGGCCCAGAAATGTACCGGGGTGAGTTTGGCAATTAAAATTGGTACAGGTGCGAACGAGTTGGGACGGTTGACCTAATAAATAGTGATTACTGACACATTGACAACTCAGGTCAGTCACGAGGGCGTTGCCGGCCTTTGAGGTGGGAGTACGATGTTTTCTTGCAGGATCCAAGGTCGTATCGGTCCAGAAATACCAAAGGTGACAATTTGTCCAGATTGATTGTGCGGAGAAAAAATGTCTTGAAAAGCGCACAGTGAAGAAGTGTTACATATCCAAGTGATGGAGACGGATGTGTAAATATTATAAATTTCACTTAATCGTGAAATTTACAAATCTGCCGACATCTATTCATTTCGTCGGTGTTCAAAAACATATCACAGGCAAACAAAGTTCATGATATATTGTTACTTCCAAGAACAAAGATGGAAATCCCAAATTACGCTACGAAAAAAAAGTATGACTCAAAAAATAAAACAAAAGTTACATAAATAAATAGTCTCGTTTCATTGTGAAAACCCAAACTACTTCATATCTTCTTCTGTAAGTGGTACTTTCTTTACATCCTGAATAATCTCGTCTATACGATGCAGATTCTTGAGCGAGACTTGTCCAGAACCCCTTTCTATTGGCTTCGGTTGCGAGGGGTCCGGTTTCCATCCCAGGAAGTTGATAATCTCGTAAGTAGCGGGGACGCCGCGGATATTACGTTCTGGCATCACCTGTTAAAAAATATTTCACAGATAATCCACCGACAAATATTTTTTTAGAGTTGGGGGCAAACCAGCAGATGGGTTACCTGACGATAAATGACAACCGTAGCTCATGGATACCACTAACCGCAAATCAGGCGACACAAGTTCGTTTGAATCCGCCGGGGACGTCCCCTACGCTCGGGATTGGCCCTCTCCCGATCCTATTCAGCGGTCTCTTTCTGGAGTATTACAGCTTCACATAAAGGAGAGTCCTATGTTCAGCAGTGGACTAGTAAAGACTGTTGATGATGATGATAAAGAAACCACTGCGCCCCAGTCATGCTCACCCGCCAGCATGGCAGTGATGATTGCTGGCGGGGACAGGTCTCGTCCGACTTTGTCGACCAGGACCTTGCAACCTCCCTCACGCTAACCTCACTCTAAACTAAAAACCACATGGCTTACATATTTAGGTGAAAGGTCTACAGAAGTACTCCTATAGGAGTCGGCTATACAATCATGTTACGATTTCAAACTTTGTGTTTCTGACTAGTATGATAGACTTGAACAAGCCTTTTGATTGATATTATCATATACTAGTGGCATGTGAAGATAAATATTTTAATAACATCTAGAGAGCTTAAAGTGTGAGCATAGATTTATACTCAAAACAACTTTATCGGGCAATAGTCGCGAACACCTTAGATCCTAACATACTAATTTTTTTCAGGTGTCTTCCAAGGTAGTATCGTCGGTCCTTCTTATTATATAACAACACTATTTTGACAAGGGCTTACCTTTCCATACATTTCATCGTAAATCGCTGCAGCTGCAAATTGGGTATCTTTGGATAACCTCAATGGTCTATTATAAGCGGCATTAGACTCTCCCAGTGCTCTGACGTCACGCATCACATCCCACATTGACGGATACCAGATAGTGACTGAATCGACATCCACAGTTTGCAGCGTAAAGCCGCTCCTGAAAGTAATATATTAGGAAGATTGTTATTACGGAATTATCACTATATGGAAGAGAGTGAGAGAGGGTGAATTTAGGCGCAAATTATAGTTTTCAAATCTATATCAAATAAAATGAAAGGTCTCGTGCCCACTTACGCGTTAAGTAAACCGCCGATGTCTCTGACGTGTGTGAAGGGAGAAACATGTGGAGATATGCCGCCATGTCTCTCGCTCTCTGCCAGCTGTATTGCTTGACGGAGCTCTTGGAGTGTGTTCCCGCCGAACACGCATGACATGAATACCTGAAAGACAGATTACTTTTGGTATCTAATGTTCACGTTCAGAGGAGTTTCATTGTCGGAGAGGGTTGTTTCGGCACATAGGCCGGCTATACCGGAGTGATACCGTGACGTCAAAACCGGTGTTAAGACCGTGACCCCCCCTCAGAATTAGAGAGAGGTGGGGACCTCTCTATAATTCTGAGAGGGGGTCACGCTTGATGAACTACGACCCAACTCTATTAGTTGTTATTGTAGTTCGGCTTGTCTTCGCTAGATTGGGGGACCAGTATATGTTGAAAACCACTAAAACTGTACTGAGGTGTCGGCTCGAAGGACCACGAAGAAATAATAATAGTAATAACTTTATTTAGGAACAAGCCCAGAGTTGTTAGTATACATAAATATGCACGTTACCAAAGGTGCATCATATAATTTAAATACGTTATTTTTGGCAGTAACGTGAGGGTAAGATTTCGAGCCGCGACGCGACGGAAACATATAATTCGCAATAATAACAATAAATAATAATAAATAGCAAAGAAACGTAGAGCTCTTAAACTTGCCCTTAACAATTAATAGTTTTGTAATGGTTTTCAGCAGTATATTTTTTTCTTTACCCACAAACCCACATTTAATCAATTTTCAAATATAAGTAATAATAATACATACCCCATCGGGCTTCAAACATTTCATGATTCTGTCAAAACAACCAGGCAAGTCATTCACCCAGTGGAGTACTAGAGATGATACAACGAGGTCCACACTGTTATCTGGAAACTAAAGTAAATACAATATTATGTACCTATTTATAGTAAAACATTTCAAAGTTCGTGAAGGTGGATGTGAGCCCTCCGTAACCCAATGCCCCAGGTATTTAAATTTAACGACGAAGGTGACACTCCATATTTTTAACCGAACGAACCGACGAAGGTGAACCACAGAGCGAGACTTCTGGAAGGACAGTTTAGGTCTTTCGACCCGCTCTGAACACCATTGGCCCCGGCGTAGACTACACATATTTATCATTTATGGATATTTGATACTCAACCACGTCAGAAGGTCAATTCTCGTAATAAAAACTAGTTCAAAATTCAGTTTCGATATACTCTTGACCTTACAAAGGTATTGCGGTCTAGGTCCGGTCTTCTGTGAAGCCGAACCAAACTCCAATTCAAAATATCTTTGTTCAAAAATATATTTTTTTAAATCGTCTGAGACTCTCATAGATCAACACACACAATAGCAGCAATCTGTTTTGTCAAATGGTTAAAAAAAATATGTTAATACGTAAACGTTAATATGTAATTTATGTTTGTTTGTTTGTTTGCCCGTTTATATTTATGGGCGGGTCTGTTGTATATGTATTGAGAACTATACAAGGTGTATTTTCTCATTTGACGAATCTTGAAACCACATATTCTGCACTTTATTTCTAGACGATTTGCAAAATATGAACAAAAAATATTCAGTGGTTTAGAAACAGGGCAATTTTTTTGTTTTCGTAATTTGCAACATCATGTTTAAATGCAGTCATAATACATTGACCTCAGGCGGCCGCGTTGCCGCTTTTACTACACTCGAATCGAACGAAATATGTTGATTATTGCGTCATCAGGATGAAGGACGCGCATTTTTAATTAGTTCATGCAGTAAGTACAGTCAGTCGGTCCTTAGCCACCGCCAATCACTGAGTGTTATACTGTTCTGTGTCCTTGTAGATGCGCTCACGACAAATTATCGTAATAATATTATTGTTGAGATATTTGTTTAGAAAAGTTTTGTTGTGATAATAATTGTTTATTGTTATTGCGTTCATCATAATACACGGCAATGGTGTGAACAATTAATGTTATCGTGTGCGCAAGACTTCCTGTTGTGACGAGTCCCGCTAATTTTATTTTAAATAGTGAGAAAATTGGTTTGTGTGTGTAGTGTAGTGTGTAATACTGAGTGCATTATCAGTCTTTTAATTTTCACAGCTGCGGAATATCCTGACATTATGTTAATTTACCGGGAACTGTATCAAAACGCATCTTTAACTTTACGGACAAACTGAGGTATGGAATCAATCGTACAGACTGCCGAATTTTTGTAAGGGTGGTACAAAGATTACAAGACAACCAAAGTACCTACTTTTTCAAGGAGTGACACTATTGACACTACTGCCGGGTCCGAAGCTAGTCGAGCATTCCCGAAATAAACACGTGAATAAAATCGTATTTTTAATAAATTGATTTTAAAAAGCAAGTGAAGTGATTAGTAGGTAGGTAATAAGAATGTAAAGTTCGCCGACTCGTCGCGGCAGAGGCGTCGCTTTGACGTCGCCGACATTGCGACGCTTTCGTCTACAGTTCAGCGACTCGTGTTAACAATGGTTTTCTAATTCGGCAATTATTTGATTGCATTTTTTATTTTATTTTAATCGACGTTTATTGAACCGTGTTATCTGCTATTACATTGTCGGGCATTGTCACTGTTCTGATTGGTCCTATAAGACACTCGTTACAAGTATGTTAATCAGCAGTCTTTCCATAGCACAGGTTTTTATTTTTTTTATATTAGAGGGAGCAGACGAGCAGACGGGTCACCTGATGGAAAGTGACAATCGCCATTCATGAACGTCTGCAACTCAGGAGTCACAAACGCGTTGCCGGCCTTTTAGGAAGGAGTACGTTCTTGTTAGGTTCTGCCTAGTTTGGAATCATACGGCCGTGTCATTGTGAAATATGGCTCGCTGGCTGCGTTGTGGAGCGAAATTACAGTGTGTAACGTGTAAGTGTGTAACGTAAAGTGATAATTTAATCTATCTATTCAAATGTGACTTACAATGCTATATACTCCTTTCTAAGGAGAGGCATAGGCCTCAACACCGTTTAATAGTCCAGCAGTATTAAAGGGTGTTGATGATGATGATATTCGTATTAATAAAAAATACAATCAAACAAAATTATATTATTTTTATATTATATTATCTATATGGTCGTTGCATCTACCATTAAAAATTCAAAGCTATGCTTACATCAATATTCTCTTCATCCATAACTTTTTTTTCTACCTGGACTCCATCACCAACAATAGCTTTGTCAAGGTGAGTTTGTGATGTATCACACAAAGTTACTTTCTCCACACTGTCTGGTAGAAAGTGACGAGAGACATAACCTCTACTAGCACCTGAAATATAAAAATTCTGCTTATCTATGTTGTAACATCACTATTTTAGTAACTTGTCACGTCACTAAGGTACATTGCACTATGAACATACTTATGTGGTCATTGCTCTGCTGTCTGCGATACTGTATAGTATGTCTACATTCCATCAACAGCCTTTAATAGTCCACTGCTGGACATAGGCCTCTCCTTAGAAAGGAGATTTTGGCCTACTATACCACCCTGGTCAGACGGGTTGGTACAGGGTTTGTGTCAAGTTTTCCTTCTCTCTGCAGTGCTGTTAGTTTGCTCCCTTAATCGGGTCTTACAATGAATAAGAGTGGTGACACTCTGTATTCTTAATCCGTCAATAAAATAATACAAAGTCAAGAAGATACTTCATTTATAACCACAACCCAAAGTTGTGGAAGAATATAACTACTACAACTGACCAACTGCTTGCTGGCCTTCTGAACAGCCTTACTACACTATATTTTATATTCTTTCTAAGTAATGAACAAACATGAGTTAAAAATTTAAAACACCCCAATTACACAGATAGTTCTCGAAATAGGTAAATATATATTTTTTAAAATGACCTATATATATATATAAAGAACTACTTTAAAATTGGTTAATCTTTTTAAGAATAATGATGCTACTTTTACTATACTACTTTTTCTACTTAAAAGACAAAAACAATTTATATTCGTTGATATTTGTTGTCCAACTATGTCTTTTTGTCCGTGTGGTGACAAATTAAAAATATGGAGTGTCACCTCTAAATTCATCCCATGGGTGTCGTAAGAGCCAACAAAGAGAGCAAACTCTGCAAGACTACAGCGCTGCAAATAGGAGGAAAACTTGACACAAACCCTGTAGTCAAAGAAAGCCAATGTCCAGCAGTGGATTATTAAAGGCGATGATGATGAAAATGATAACTTTTCTTTATACTAATAACTTTTAGTTAATATAATATTTAGAACACTTTCTATTTATACTGCCTGGAATGGCGTCTCCGGGGCAATGTTTACTTATAGAAAGTAAATTTACTTCAGTAAAGACAATAAGAAAGACTTCTGAGATACCTAGAGCATCTTTACACAAGGACCATTTATGCTGAGATTCCAATATACATTCTTTTAAACTTACCGAGTTCTACAGCATTTTTAAATGTCCGTTTTATATCAAAAACTCTATCAGCTGTCCGCCATCCAATTTCTTCTTTTATATATTCCGCTAAATGATAATCCTCTCTTCTTGCACTTCTTTCTCTCTGTAAAGCCTTTGCTTTCCTATCAAATATGTTCATAGTCCTGTAAACCGAGCTAGCTGTCTTTTGTTTAGCATTTGAAGAAGCATTTCTATTTAGTATATTACGTAAATATTTTGGCTCGTTCTTCGCTAAATAGAGCCTAGATAGGCTTTGTAAGAGTTGCGATTGAGACATTTCCAACGAGTTTCTTAATGAAATACGTAAATTATAGCTGTTTACATATTACTTAGTAATTCATCATATTGCGTATAGGTTATGTTTTCAATTCTGAATTGACGTTTTAGTTGGGGGTTAAGAAATTTAAAACAATGATGTGAGAATCATAAAAACTTGAACCTAGGATAGGAATGGAACTTTTAACCTTGACTCGAAAATTACATATAACTCCATCCATTCATACAAAGGAATTTATTGAAAACTTAATACATATTTCTAAAAAAAAATTTGTTTTATCAGAAATTCAGCGTTTTTTCAAATTTCACGTGAACGAATTCGCGAAGAATTAATACTACTTCGAGTATTAATAAAAAGATAAAAATATTCACACGATTAAAATATTAAAAATAATGTAAAATGTATACTATCATATTCTCTCACCTCTCCCGCCGACTTAATCTTATACTCGTAATACATTTTTGTGTTTGTTTCTTTATCGAGACGCATTTTCATTTCACCGAGTTTCAAATCACAACGATAACAAAGAAGTTTCATTTCAAAAAAATGCAAATCTATGGATCACCAAATGTGTAACAACGAAAACAAGTAATTTCTTTATTTCGTTTCAACCAAAAATTGCCAATCACATAATAGGTAACATTTTCCGAACTTAGAAAATCTCATGTTAACAAGCAATATCTGTCAATGTCAGTTATGTTATGTCAATTGGAGCCGTTCGCGTTTAGAATACCTAAATAATTTTTAAACTTAAGAAATACCGGCTTTTCAACTTTATAATCTAACACAGTAAGTGCTAACTATTAAAACTTCTAAGCTAAATGCAATGCATTACTTTTAAATTGCTTACATAACCTTACTAGTTTCCCTTAATTTCAGTAATACGGTTATGTTATCTTGAAAAAGCTTTAATAACATTATATGCAACCTCCTAGCTGGTCACATAATGGTAACCCAACTAAAAGCCTACCTATCAAAATGCAATATGAAATATGCACCAACTATTTGGCATATTTCTGACTTATATAAATACAGATAGAAACAATGATATTTCGTATATAAAATCATTGGATAGGAACAATTACTTCTGTCTTCTTACTTCTGTTTGGTTGGTATTAAATCATCGAAGTTAAGTAAATTTAGACCTTTTCTTTTAGGCAATAAAACCAAAGAACTACTAAAAAAAGATTGTTCAGCAGAAAACACCATTTCCAACCCATTTTTTTTACTTACTTTTTGTTAATGACACACATAATATACAGTGGATTTCGGTTATAACAAGTCAAGTCAAGTCACTATATCCAAAATAGCAGAAAGTCATGTACATATTTGACTGTTGGTAAACGCCTTAGTTACTTTTTGTAAAAATGTTCTCAAGAAATTGTCACACTCATTCCACAAACTTTATCGACCACTATATCATGACGTTGTCTAAATATTTTCTAAAACAGTAAATATACGTCTAGGAGCCATATACACTGGAAATGGCTTTGTAGCTGATTCATTAGTTCAACTTGGTACAAATACAAACTAGTCCTGCCTACAAACAAAACAAGCATATCTGACCACCAGCTTATTAATAGTTTTATGAATGAGTTTTGTGTACGTAAGTCTGATGTTACTATAACCGCAAAGTTGTTACAACCGAAGTCATTATTAATGAAATTCACTGTATGTTGACTGTTTTTTTTAGATGTGGCCAATCTTAATGCAGTTTCTGAGATCAAACGCACCATATCTCACCTTACCTGTAGCTGCTATAGTTGGCGTTATAGGATATAATATAGAATCACTTTTATCTGACAGATATACACCTTACAATGGTAAGTAGATTAAACATCTTTTTAATACAGGCAGATTGAAATTCAATTCATGGTTACCCACCTATAATTCAATCATTGAATTATAGGTGGGTAACGTAATATGATTGTAGAAATAAAAAATACTTACGCTATTGTTGTTTCCAGAGGCAGTCCAAGATCAAAGGTTAGAACGCCTCACAGATGAAGAGCTACTCAAAGACCCAACCAATGTAAAAAAACTGAAATACCAGGAGAATGTGCTCGGCAAAAACGTCTCACCGTCTTTACAAAAGAACTAGCTAACGGGTTTAAGTGAGATTTTGAAAAGTCCAGTCATGTAGTTTAAATTTAAATCTTTCCTTAGCATAGAGTAACAATAAGTCTTAGAAAATATGTGAAATGAATTTGACAATGATAGTTTTGTATCTATCTCTTGATACCATGCCATGGAAGTTGACGAGTTCCCAACTTATTACTTAAATAATATTTTGTGATAATTTAAAACCTGACCACATTTTTTCGTAAAGAAGGTTAATAAAATTATAAAAAGATTTAATTAGTCAGTTATCACGTGACCGTCAGAGGCTATGATCTATTTATTACGAAATTAACCGGCACACAAGCTGACAGCTGTCAGTTGTTATATATTATGTCCTAAATACTTACCCTACTTCAGATATATACATACCCTATATTGACAGATGCGTTTTTTTAGCGGGAAATTTTTGTCACTTTTTTGTAATAGAATAATATTTTTTTCGTTAAAGAGTCTAATGAACTATAAAATAAAAGGTACCTAAAACATATCCACATTCATCTAAAATCTTAAATTATTTGGTTGTATTGTGTCTTATTGGTGTAGTTTTTTTTTGTATCCACGTACATATACTGGTTTTATATAATTAGGTTTTATTTAGCATAATTTCTAATGGTAACACTGTGCGTTATGTCAGTAAGTTTCATCTCCTTCATAATATGTCTATATTACCTACTACTGTAAAGCAGTGGAATCCCTTACCGCTCTAAGAGATGGTTTATTTATTTCTTGATAACTTTGTCAAAAAAAAACCTTAGAACAGATTTATCTCTCTTACTTTCGCACCTAACGTGAAAGAGATAACGTAATTATTCAAAAATATAAATATACACTAGTCAAGAGCATTTGCTCTTGCATCACCAGCCTATCGTAGTCCACTGCTGGACATAGACCTCTCCCATTGCACGCCACTTGATCGATTTTGGGCTTCTCGCATCCAGCAAGAGCAAATAATGAAGAACAATAAAAAAGCAGTTTGCAAATAAATGTATTTCGATTACAGCGACAATATTGACATACAGGGTGTAAGAGACATCGGAACGAATACTGAAATAATGTATTCAGACTATCATTCTGAGTCGAAAATCATTTCCATTTTCTGCACTACAGTATTTCAGTATTTGTTACGACATCCCTTTCACTCTGTATACATTTTTTATTATAAAATAATATGTATGTTCGTGGATAGGTATGTATGCTAATTTTTGTTTGTTGTAAGTATATAATCTTAATTATACACCAAGCACATCTCTACAAGCTTTCGTACGTAACGATACTCTCTTAGAACTTGATTGGTCAGTGGGCGGAGCTTAACCGATGCGTCACTAATTTCTTAACGCGAATGGTACTATAGTAAGATTTACATTTAGGCCAATGTCCAAGATAATTACCACTTTCTGCAATCCATATTTTACTAGTATATCTCGGCTTCGTGTTCGGTTTCTCTTTAAGAATTACTACCGCGAATTTAATTAGTAACACAAAACTTAATATATATACGTAACAAAAAAATACATTAAATATTTATTTTTGCTAAGGCAAGATTAAAGGAAATGTAAATATTGTTTTAAATTGTTAATAAAATATGTAAAATGTTATCGATGTTTTATTTTTTTTATGTTAGAGGGGGCAGACGATTCGGGAGCACAAAAGGGACATAGGGGTTCCCACACAGGAGGGGGTCATTTACACGCCGTAGATGGCCTGAGGTACGTTGGTGTATCAGGGATTTCCTTCCTAGGGTTTGCTGCGGTTTTTGGTCGGTTCGAGTCCGCCATAAACACCGGTCATAAACAAATCCCCTCGGTTACCGGGTGGATCTCCGCACAGAAAAGGGGGGGGGGGAGCATACGGGTCACCTGATGGAAAGTGACCATCGCCGCCCATGAACGTCTGCAACTCAAGAGTTTCTTAACCATACTTGTTATAACATAAAAGAGAAGGTAGAGATTAAATATAAACAAATTAAGTTATACGATCTTATTTTTATTTATTTTTTCCACGAATACGCACACCACAAGTCATTTTAATTACCACACATCGAAAAATACAGTCTAAATAATAAATTGTGACAGCACCTCAACATACATGACAGTTGCAAAATTGACACTACATATGACAGTTGCAAATTGACGTTACTTTGACAGTTGTAAGTACATGGCGACTAATCGCTGAGAGTGAGGAAAGCATACATTCTTCCATCTCGCTAATACTATGCAATGTCTTATTAGAACATACAAATGTCTTTCAAAAACGAATTATATGGTTAACTTAGCTTCTAAGAGAAGGGGGTTGTAATACATTACAATAAATGAATATAGAGTTAGTAGAACATGGCGAGTTCTTAACTAATATAATCATGACCCTACTAAATGAGTCTATAGTAAGTATACCATGGCATGTCATCATTTTTTTTTGGTCAGTGTTACCAACATTAAATTCATGACTCCTTTTTTAAATTTATTTAAAGGTTAAACTGATTGTTAAAAAATGTTTATATTAAGAGAATACGAAGTTTTTTTTTTACAACAAATATTTGTTTAAATAATACGATTGATAAGGAGTACAAGAGTTGGCAACACTGTTTGTCGGTTTAATAGACATTTTACAAACTATAAGAGAAAATAAAAGAATATTAAATATATTGTTACTTAACAGTTTGAAACGAATCATTATGTACAAATTGTAGTCATAACTTCAGTTTAAAGATTGTACATCAGTGGCATTAAATGTACAAATAAACAGCCCTAAAATAAAAGTACATTTAATTTATATTTTTTTTGCAAGCATTTTAACATGAATAGATTTTTCCATTTAGTTTCATAATATATTATAATTTTTCCTTTTAATATCTTTTTCAATCATTTAAATGATTCAGATACTGCTTAAATTCTGTACCAACTAAGTATTGTGATGAAATGACCAAAGAAATTAAGCATTAGGAGGTTTGACACCAATAAGACTATGAATTATTATTGAGCAATATTTTACAATTGAACGGTATATCGGCAAAACTATGAATATATAGATGACATTTCGAATGGGAAAATAGGGAAATAGTAAGTCTACTTAACGACTAAAGCAACTTTAGTAACTAAATAAAGTTACTAAAAGTAATGCAATTTAAGTATTAGGGAATTACACATATTAAAGGGCTAAATTAGAATCTACACAAAGATATTTGTCAGAGTGACAGGTTGGCCACCATTTTGTATCGAACCTAAAGTAACACTTCAAGTCATAAGTGCGTTTACGCACTTTGAGTGCCTCCTCCCCAGAGTTAAGAGGAAGGGAGGAAAGTTTTCATCATAACTACGTAAATGTTTTGTTTTCAATATGAAAACACCACAGTTAATTTAGTAAGCGAAGGTTCTGATGAAGTTTACCAAGTTGTATTGTGATTCAAAACAAAATGGCGTCTTATTAAAGTATCCGAACAAATTAAAAGTATATTAAGTAACATCGTAAACTTAACCTACTTGTATACTAATCACAACTTGTAAAAACTTGTGAAGTCTTGTATAATAGATTTGGAGCTATTTAGCCTATATGCGACTATTTGTAGACTGGCGACAAAAAAGTCGGAGGTCGACAACTTAAGTCGCAATATTCGGTATTCTTCAGACGTTTCAAGTAATTTTAAAGGTCCACACTAAGGCAAAGACCATTGGACATACAGATATTTTCATAGAAAAATATTATTTAGCTAAACTTTAAGTTAAGTTATCAAGGATTTAGTTAAATTCCCGGAGGTTTAAATTTATTTATTTTTCTTAATTAATCCATTGGTCTCAACCTAAGTACATCCTCATATTAAAGCGATAAGCTTCTCGACTATTACAACTTAGCGACTAAAAATCGCACGGACAGATTCAGCCTAACGACAACGCTACGTATATAGGAGATCATCTATTTGGTAGCGATATTATAAATGCATAGTATTTACTTTGTATTTGAACAGTTATAAAAAGTAGGTATTTCTTTGAAGCCAACAAAAACGCTAGCAAACCAACTGAAGTACGAGTATATTCGGGTGGTTCTTTACCTTAATCTTTAGGTGGACCGCGGCAGGTAGAGGAGTTTAGGTATTATGGACTCTCCTTGTACTATACATTAAGTTTATTTTTGATTAACTCAAAGCCTATGCTGCTTATTATTATTACAAAATATAATTATCTATCTACTTTTATTTAAATTTATGTTAAGGTATATATTTTTAGCAAATTGTTTAAGCTCACCTATTGGAATAATTTACGAGATAGCCTGTTTTCGAACGTCATTTTTTTGTGATGTTAATTAGCCAAATAAGTGAATTGGACTAATCGCCGATTAGAAGTATTAAATTGCTACGTGGTTTTACGAATAGGTGCAATGATAATTCTTAAATTAGACTAACCGCTAATTGGAGAAATAGGCGAATTGGACATAGCGTCAGTTAGGAGGATTAGACAGTTTTGGCCAGTTATTGATTTTGCCTATTAGGCAAATAGGTGAATAAGACTAATTGCCAGTAAGGAGAATTAAACAAATAGGCGAATTGGACTTATCATCAATCAGAAGTCTTACACAAATAGGTGAATTGGGCTAACCTTTAGTTACAGGAGATTTAAGCAAATAAGTGAATTGGCCTGACCATCAATTAGGAGTAAGAGATAATTGCACAATTATAAGGGGAATTGGAGTAACCATCAATGAAATAATTTGGAGTAAACTTGAATTGAAACTATCACACATAAAGAAATTGAAGTAAAAACTCATAAATGATCTGCCTATACAATTGATATTGGTATATATTTATAATTCCAAAAGTACATACCTTATTTACAATAAAAGATTTAATTACGACAAAATAATGAAACGGCCACACTTAACGTAAAATAAGTGCGATCATTTACGTAATTCCCTTTCAAGTTACTTAATACAGGGTGTAAGGGACATCGTAACGAATACTGAAATAGTGTATTCCAAGTCGAAAATCCATGATTCTAAGCCGAAAATCATTGGAAATTTCTGCAGAAAAATTCATTTTTTTTTGGTTTAAAATGATATCACAATGAGTAAACAGAAGATTTCACCGAAAACAAATTAATAAATACTGCATACGGTCAAAAACTGCCATATAATTAATCAAAAAGCCGAAGCGGGGCCTCCCCTCCGGCCACCAACTTGTGTTAGTGTGCGTAGACTGTTTGCACGGAATAAACATGTAGTTATTACTTTTGTGCGATACCTACGGGAAATGATCTTTACTGCTTTGACAGCTGATTATAAATAATAATATAATGAATCCAATGATTTTAGACTCAGAATGATGGTCTGAATACACTATTTCAGTATTTGTTTCGATGTCCCTTACACCCTGTATAGCCTTCCTATACGTCAAGGGTGGATAATTACCACAAAGAATATCTTATAATAATAATTGTGATTGTGAACGGATTTATAAAAATATTTATCTTTTACATGTTTTTTAAATTGCAAATGCTACTAACATATATTAGAATAAAAAAAATATTTATTTTTGGAAATATATACAAAGATTTTTGTTTATATATTTCTTTTAACATGAAAATACATTTACATCTACTTTTTTAAACTAAAAACTATACCAATTCAATCCGAATGATTGCATATTTAGCACACTAGATGGCGTTAACCTAACACTGTTATAATCACATTCAGCATTGTATAATAGGTACTAACATTGAAAACGACCAGCGTCAGCCCTACCAGGGTAGTCTGTAGGCGTAACATTAATTACTGCCTGACACTACACCCCCCCCCCCCCCCCCGGGTGTAGTGTCAGGCAGTAATTAATGTTTAATGAAATTTGAAATGCGCTGCCTTAATGGTACAGTATGGTACGCGACTGCAGTCCATGAGGCCTCAGGTTCCATGTCCGGACGGGGAAATGTTATAGTTTTTCTGAGAAAAAATAACCTAAGTTACTCCTTGTATAGACAACTACCTGGTAGTAAAATATCATCAAAATCAGTCAAGTCGTGAAAATTACCCAGCACAAACAGACAGACAAAAAGTATTTTAACTGGTTTTTAGGCATAGGTATCGTGGAAATAACCGTGTGAGTATGAATAAAACCTATTACTTTAATATTACAAACAGACTTCAATTTTATTTATTTGTATAGATGATGATTATGTGCAAAGAAAATGGCCAAAACGCAATACTGCCCTAGTCTCGTAAAGGTACAAGGCTGACGCTGCTACTGACGGCTGTAAAAAGGAAATTCATTACATATATACAAACAAAAGTTGTTAAGTCCAGCCAATACCAAAAGGCGAGGGGGGCCGTCATGAGACTTTCGAGAATGTTATGGCATTGACAGAACGTGAACACATTTAGTCCAATGGACTAAAAAAAATATTAAGCAACGTAATATTAATTTATTTGAGTACACTAGCAATTTAAGATATCCGCTTCGTATCGGTAGTTTATAAGTCTACACTATTTTCAAATTATCGTTCATAGATATATTTAAGAAGAACAGTTTCCTAATACATTGTTTTTTACATAACTCTATTGGACATGATTTTTTACGACTTTTTAAACTTTCTGTATATATTTCAGCGAATTTATCCAAAACCTTAAATGAATTATACACCTAAACCTTCCGCATAATCTATCCGTTGATAATAACATTATATACATCTGTTCAGTAATTTCGAAGTCAGACAGATAAACGCAGACGTGGAGTTCTTTTTATAATCTTTATCAATATATATATATTTAAAAGTTAAGTTGGTTTGTGTACGCCCCAAAAACTTCTACACCGATTGAGCTCAAATTTTGACACGACTCAAAGATGGGTTTTATCTATTTTTCGAGTCAGTTTTGTTCCTAATTCCTCCTTAATGCAACTATAATGTGCTATAGCCAAGCGTGGAAGGGTACAGGAAGTATCTAATGATTATAATACTATGAGACGGTTAAAAGACTTAACAGAGATGCCTGCTAACCCCCCGAGTTATTAACTCTGAACCTTAAAACCTTAACATAATTTGTGATAGACAACATAATTTTCTTGTTTTAGCAAATAATATGATTATTTTACGACAAATACACAGCTGTGATCATTAAAATATAATTTATGCCTTATTACAGTTGTCAAGTCCTAGTGTATTCAAGCTTCTTAAAGCTATGTTGTGGAGTTGGAGGCAGAAGAGTAGCAGGATTTGCTTCAGGCACCAACTTTGTTCCGCCGCTTGTTGAGCAAAGAGTTGTTGCTCTGTTCTAGTGTTTTGATTTGGACCTGAAACAGAGAGATATCAGTTAAAATTTAATTTCTTATAAAAGCTGGATTTTAACCACGCTACCCAGTAGCTAAAATTAGCACAGAATCATCTTATAGCACCTGCTAAAGTCGATCAAGCAGTTTAAAAGGACTAACATTGTTTTAGTTACATACACACACACACACACACACGAACATTTGTATTTATGAATATTTTTCATTAAATGACACATTACACAAACGGCCGTATGATTCTAAACTAGGCAGAGCCTGTATAATGGTAACCAAACTGCTGATAAACATCTATTTATTTATAAATACATATATTATAAATAAGTAACACTTAGACATCGACATTTTCGTACGTTTGACAGTACTGTGTAAATAAATTACAGAATATAAGCAAAAAATTATGATTGATTTTAAAGTCTTTTTTATGTCACGTTGGTGAGCAACACGCATATACGTTGCCCTAGACTGTGTATGTTCATTACATTTAAGACTTTAGAGAGCTAGCGGCCACACTCTGCTTATTTATGGTGCACATTTTTAACACGTGTCAGTATAGATGGGATGTATATTTTAGGAAAAACCTCAGATGTTGTAAATATATTTATGGCAGACGTGAACTTGAATAGAAATTTGTAGTTTAGACAAAAGCGAGATTTTATAAAAATGTATATTTTAGACAAGTGTCCACGGAGATTGTATAAATTTTAGACAGAAGTGTACTCGAAGCCTGTGTATATTTTAGACACAAACAAACTTTAATGAAAGTGTACGAGTATATTTTAGACACAGATGTGCTCGGAGACTATGTATATTTTAGACACGAACAAGCTTCAACGAAAGTGTATATTTTAGACACAAGTGTGCTCGGAGACCATGTATATTTTAGACACCAACGAGCTTCAACGAAAGTGTATATTTTAGACAAAAGTGTGCTCGGATATTGTGTAAATTTTAGATACATTCTATAATGGCACGTTGTAGCCACTTTGTGAGTCTGTACATTTAGTTATTTAGACACTCGCCGTCACCTGATCGTAGTCGACTCTCATGGTGGCGAGGGAGCGTGTCATCTCGTCCTGGACGTCGGCCCACACCTCCCCACCCTCACGGAGCAGCGTGTGCGTGTACAGCGGGGTTTGGGGCACCTGCGTGTACTGGCGGACCCATGGGCTTGACATCACCTGGAGAAAATACACTTATAATTATACTCATACATAATTGATAAAAATAGAAAAAACCTAAATATTGTTCATTAACGTTAGAAAATAGTGACTTAAATAGCGAGGCTCTCTGACCAATCAGGTTCCAAGAAATGATCGTTTCGTATGGAAGCTTGAAACCTGATTGGTTAGGGGCGGGGCCTAAATTCTGCAAATAAATAATAGCATACTTGTTGGATGGTTAATCTGTTGGCTGGATCTACGGAGAGCATACCACGGATGAGATTCTTAGCTTCTGATGATACGTTGGACCACTCCGGCTCTGGGAAGTCGTACTGGCCCAGTCTGATGCGCTGAAGATAAAAAGAATAAGGTTAACAGGTTTAAAGAGACACTCAATTTTCTATCACTGGGTACTATTGCCGTGGTCTGGTCTGTGAGCCCCGGTAGACTTCACTTGGTATTATGACTAGATCAGCGGGTGACCTTCAGAATCATATCATATGGTTCATACGACCCATATGTATACGAACCAACAGGTTTCTTTGGTTCTTTTATTTCTGCTGCATGAGTCCAGGACGAGTTGCTAGTTTCAGACACATCTCAGACACGATTGTCTGATCCAAAACTAGATAAAAACAATACTACTATGGTAACCAGACTGTTGATAAACATACTTATTTATGTTTAAATACATATATTATAGATAAGTTACAACCAGACATAGAAAAAATTATCAAGCTCATGACATCGAAGCCAGGACCTCTGCTCAGCAGTCACTCTCAATAACCACTAAACCAAAAGGCCAGAAGATTAAGATGCATTATAACCTGGTCAACAAGTCTACAAAGTACTTTTGTACCAGTAGACCTGCAGTATTTTCTGTATGTAAATATTCTTACCTTCTTCATGCCGGGCGATATGGCGAGACCATGGTTGGAGTAGAACGGTGGGAACCCACACAGTAGGATATACATCACCACGCCTAACGACCAGATGTCGCAAGATTTGTCGTACTTCTGAGGGCCCAGGACCTGCAGGGAGAATTGTATATTTTCTTTATAAACATAGTCTTTTAAACTAACAACCTAATTTTGTATTAAAAAAAAAACAAATATCTCGACTACTTTTCTAATGACACTAATGACAGTTGGTCTGGTCTGGTCAATTAAATAATACAATACATTTAAACGAGGCGTTACCCAGTATTCATTATTATACCTCTGGTGCGACGTAGTAAGGAGTATAACAAGGAGTTTGTAGGGTGTCAGCAGGGCTCAAAGTCTCCTTGGCAAACCCGAAATCGGTCAGCTTGAGTATCGCGTTCGGTTCCTGGCTGGTGTACAGTAAGTTTTCTGGCTTGATATCGCGGTGGGCGATGTTTGAGTCGTGTAGGTGACGTACGGCGACACAAATTGAATGCATAATCTGGGGAAAAGCAACACTAGTTATACACTCGGGCAAATCTACAAATATTTTTGAAGAAAAATAAATACAGGCTGTTACCATAAAGTGAGGCTGTAAATCAGAGTTTTATAATAACTAGACACCTACACACACGACCGTCTGATCCCGAACTAGGCAGAGTCTGTACTAGGGTAATAAGGACCTGAAATAACATGGTCCGGGTCCTCCCAGAGTAGGGCACCTGAGGCCGGCCGTCGGGGTGGTTTTTAGTGGAATCACCACATACTCCTAGCTCCTAGCCCCGAGGAGCAGGAGATCCGAAGGGATTTTCCACCCCGTCAACAAAAAAAAAAAAAAAGGGTAATAAGACTGCTGATAAATATACTTATATATTTCTAAATACATACATATCTAATACCTTTAAACGAGCAATTCTTGTACTCGTATATATAATCTGAATCTCGGAAACAGCAACGGAAATTTAGTATGCAGGGGGTTTCGGGGGCGATTAATCGATCCAGGTTTCATTTTTAGAAAATTAAACCAGAAAAAGAATACCGAGTAAAGCTCGGTCATCCAGGTACTTATAGAAAAATTTCGCCCAGACACAGAACAGATGATCGCTCTCATCAAACAATTATTTGTTCTGGGTGAGAATCAAACATACGACCTCTGTCTTAGCAGTCAGGGTCACTAATCACTAGACCAACACGCCAGTAAGTATAACACTCCACTCAAGATTACTTGGCTCTGAGTCCACACATTTTAATTGCGGTTTTCCCTGTGAACTAGTTACTTAAATTAGTGCAATAAACATGTTTTAGTGAGTCATAAAACACAATGGTTTATTTATTGTAAGTGCTGGATAGATGTGAATTGAATTGTAAGTGTTATTTTAAGAACTAATTGGGGTACTGTATCTAGGTATCATAGATGTTTTATATTACACAAAATAGTTTTTTTCAGGAGATACTTATAGTCTGATATCTATGGCAGACATTGACAATACCTAAACTCATTATAAGAATAGAAACTACTCACGACTACCCACCAGAGGTTGGCGTGAGTACTACAGCTGTTTTTACTCAGTGCACAGCAATTGCAAGGGTTTTCAACCCTGAATTCTTTGAAGTAAATATGGTTGAGTAAATAAGCTATAGAGCAAGGTACTCAGGTTTTCAGTCAGGTCAGGTTTAGGGGTTTCCGTGTATACGAAGGTTTAGAAGCAGGCTCAGAATTCACTTTTACTTCTTTTGGCGATGTGTGGTAAACTTCAGAAGTATTTTTGAACTAACCTGACCAAGGCTTTAACTAAAATTATGAATGTTTTTTGCCTAGGAAAGGAAGGCAGTAGCTTGCAGCCCTAAGTTTTTCCTATCCCTTGGGAAAAGTTCATGGACGAAAGGTATACTATGTTTTTCTATGTATAATGCAAAACTTCATTATGATCGGTTGTGCAGTTTAGGCCTCACCTCAGCTGCCTGCCTCTCAGTGAAAGCGCCCTCCCTGTTGTCCTGTATCCTCTGGAACAGCTCACCTCCGTCCATGCACTCCATTACCACTAGCAGACATCCTCGGCCGCCGTATGTGTTCTCGTATACGTCTATGACCTGTAAAGTGGAAGAAAATTTAGATTTCATTCATATCATTTCAATTAAAGGCAGATATTTGTTAAAACACCACAGCTTCAGCCAACATCTAAGCGCCAATAGTGTATTGGGTTGGAACCAACTCCTCACTCCTCGTCCAAGACTCCAGTGATCATCTGAAATATTTACTAGAGATATCTTTTAGCTATGGAGCTAGGAGATGTAATGAACTGTTCAGTCACTACTCTCAAAACCGCTCTCGAGTATGGAAAGGAATGGGTTAATTTTTTTCCAAAAAACATGTATCATTATCTATCAAGTTCGAATCGTCGAATTGCCCTTAAGGAAATATGATTACTTACCCAATAATAATAACACAGGCGCTTAAGTCTAAGTAAGAGAGGGGACGGACTGACGGAAGAGATAATCGTACAGTATGCCATGCGCCTAAACTACGAGGGAAGGTGATACCTCACCGTAACTATCGGGAGGCCGTATGTCGAGTAAAACTACACTGTATGCCATACTGCGTTAGAAATAGGAGGACTGTTGATGCTACTGCGGCGGTATGTCTTCAACGAAGCCCGCCGTACAGCAAACGAGCGGCCGGGCGGCGAAGTCACTTACTATCATGTGAAAGTAAATGATTCATCACATCACATCAACAGCCTTTAATAATCCACTGCTGGCCATAGGCCTCTCCTTAGAAAGGAGGTTTTGGCCTAGTATACCACGCTGGCCAGACGGGTTGGTATAGGGTTTGTGTAGTTTGCTCCTTTAGACGCCTCTTACGACACCCACGGGATGAATAGTAAATGATTACCCTTTGCTAACCCTTTGCTAGGAAACCTGTAACTCAAAAATTCCTGACCTAACTCAAACGGTGAAAAAACAACGAAGAATTACTTTAAGCAATTTTTCTGGTTTTCTTTGAGGCCGTGGTATTACTCCGGTTCAGCGAGCCCCACATGTGGGCTAGCTAGAAGCATGGCTCTCCCATTGTTCTTTACTTCTAACTTGTCTATATTAACTATTAGATATATTACAATGTGGCCAGATCGCGTCCGTATCAAATGTAAATAGTAACATATAGATAATCGATCGCCCCCGCCCCATCCGCTGTCTAACCCAGCTTTAACATAATCGCGTTTATCTAGAGTCACTCCCCGTTACAAGTGATAGACGCGTGACCGTTACAGATAAAACGTGTCGATTGACTTCTTATCATTACACGGCTTACTCATTTATGTCATGGCTGTGTATGTAATGTTTATGTGGGCTCATGAATCACGGCAGAAGAAGGGAATTCTATGAAAACATGATCTGGCATCACTAAACGAAATTAGTGTTCAAATTTTTACTAATATATTCTGAAGGATGATGAATGGATTTCTCCTAAATTAATTCTATATCACCGAAGAGGTTGGCAGAGGTGTATTAAAGTCATAGCTCATTACACCCACAAGCACATGACCAGCACCATATCGGCACGGTGTCCTCGCGTTATTGATACGTGGTCCACGGGTGGACGCCGCGTTGTTAACCAGAAAACGATGTGATAGATACGTGCGAGGGAGGGGGGGGGGGGGGGCGGGGCGGTGTGCAGCCGATGCATATCATCCTCGCGCGTGCACCACTCGCGGACAGCGCGCCGTCACCTAGTGGTCCACTTGCGCGTGGCTATAAAGAATACTAACCGCTCGAGGCAGGCGGTGCTGGTCTGGTGCCGGGCTCTAATGAGCTATGACCTTTAGTCCTACTTACGTAGTTAAAGGAAGGGTAAAAGGGAATTTATTTGTAGGAAAGCGGTTGAAATTGTAGGAAAAGAATAGCTTGTTCGAACAGCTCATTCCTGTAACTCGAACTGGCTGGTGCCAAAAGGCAGCTAGTTTATAATATAAATAAATAAATCAGAAGGAGATAATTAGTTTGGTTTTCTAGAATTAAGGAAGTATGTATGTACCAGGAAGTCAGGGAAGCGCGCGCTATTAGAATTGTCCAATGACAGTGCGCGTTTCGAATTGACTAATGACAGCCCGCTATTCAAATTGACTAATGACAGAGAGCTATTCGAATTTAGATATTTGAATTAACTAATGAGCGCGCGGTGCTAGAGTTGTCCGTCAGATGAGACTATCTCGACTTAGTCAACCAATAAACCTGTCTAGTCGACAGCTAGGATAAGTCAATTAAAGTTTCTGAAAGGTTAAACAATGAAAAATATTACTATCAATATTCGAGCATTCGAAAGGCCATATTTGAGAGTAAATTTTTATAGCTCTGTTCAATAATCCGTTGATCAAATCAAAATGTCGCCCTCGCTTATTGCGAACGAGAGAAATATTTCAATATAACTAAATATAAACTTTTTTACTTCAGTGCCGTATACTCGTATAATTATGTTTTTACGCTATCCATGTTTTCTGCACGCAATTTCTAACTACGTGCAAATTCACATAAAACAAGTTTCGTTATTGAAATAGTTTTACAACATTCGATAAGTTTCTTAGGTCGGAGTTTATTGAAACTTTTTCAAAACACAGGCAATGAAGTTTTATAAAGTTTGAGATCAGAACAAAGTTTATTCTCTTTTATTTAACTTGTGTAAGTATCCTTCTTTCTTCCCTCTTTTATGGTTAACAACATGCTTTCTACACAGTTATCTGGTACTTTCTTGATTTTTCTATTCAGGTCTTCAATAAAATATTACCGCTTAACGTTTTAATTGCTTAAAAAATTTCTTTCCTTATTTAAAATCGATCTAATTTCCTAACACAAACTTGCCAGGCATGATCAACCACGCCTGGACGTAGGATATTCCTTTATGTTATAGGGGTCCGTGTGGTGACGGATTAAGAATGCGGAATGTCACTACCCTTATTCATCCCGTGGGTGTCGTAAGAGCCGACCATGGGAGCAAACTACGCAGGACAACAACACTGCAAAGAGAATCAAAACTTGAAACTAAACTCGCTATACCAACCCGTCTGGCCAGCGTGGTATACTAGGCCAAAACCTCCTTTCTAAGGAGAGGCCTATGTCCAACAGTAGACGGTTATAAGCTGTGGATGTGATGATGTGATGTGATAGGGATATAATAACCGTTCATCTAAAACTTAAAAATCGAAAGTACCCTTCTTATTAAGTTAGTACACTTGATGACTCTGTCCAAGCTCTGTCCGCGAGTGAGTTACGACGATGCATCGGCGGCACACCGCCCCCACTCGAGCTTAATCTATACTAATATTATAAAGCTGAAGAGTTTGTTTGTTTATTTGTTTGTTTGTTTGAACGCGCTAATCTCAGGAACTACTGGTCCGATTTGAAAAAATCTTTCAGTGTTAGATAGCCCATTTATCGAGGAAGGCTATAGGCTATATATCATCACGCTAAGACCAATAGGAGCGGAGCACCAATGAAGAATGTTTCAAAAACGGAGAAAATTTATTACTATTGAGAGACGCAGAGGAAGTTGCGCGGGTCAGCTAGTGTGAAATAAAGTTGCACTAAGCCTTCAGGTTAACAACGTGGCATCCACCCGTGGACCACCCGTCGACAATGAGTGGACACCCAGTCGAGGTGGTGCCAGTCGGGTGGGTGTAATGACCTTAAGTCTGATCCGAAACTAGGCAGAGCCTGTACTATGGTGACCAGCCTGCTGGTAAACATACTTATATATTTTTAAATACATACATATTATAGACAAATTATACCCAGACCGAACAAATGATCGTGCTGCACATACGATTATTCGTGGGTGGGAACCCACGACCTCTGATAGTAATCAAGGTCACCAACAACTAGACCAATAGGCCTGTGAAGTTAATTATGTGAAATACAGGCCAGTTTACCGATAAACATTGAAGAAAACAATACACCATAGACCATAACTAATAGCCAAATGATTGTTCACAACAATAGTCAATTACCATCTCAATAGCTTGGTTTAACTTCAGTGAACACGTAAGACTATAGAGATATAAGCATAGAGTGAACGAGAGCCCCGATCTTGCAATATAGGCAACGAGAGAGATGGATAATAGATAGTTCCCTCTATCTTTTTCTATTCAAGCTCTGTGGTTGGCTGAGGAAATTTCTAATCTCCTGCCTGTTCTATGATCGAAACCAGCCCACTTCACGATATCCAGAGAGAGATTTCACGAGATCTTCACGAGATTCAGAGGGAACTCTCGGTCATCCATTTCTCTCGCTGCCTGTAACGCTTCCACTTACAGGCAGCTGTACCCCGTGTTCTCTCTATGCTTATTTCTCTCTGCGTAGGACACATAACACTTATATGGTAATTTTTTACCTTAAAATCTTCGATGGTATAACTCGCATTTGGGAGGCTATTGCAGCTCTAGAGGGAGGGAGTAGAGGGGAGGGAGGGAGGGATGAACGCAGGAACAGTTTGGTCGCACCCCATCCCACTATATTATAGGGGGGTGTGACCAACACGCCCGCGAGTGGGTGGCCCGTTTGCTCGGTTGCCCCTTTTTTTTTTTTTTTTTTAATGTGTGGAAATCCCCTCGGACCGTCACCCCACCGGGGTTTGCGGGCGGGGTGGTGTGTCGGACTCGGACCGACTAAAACCACACGGTGTGCCACTCTGCGCCTGTAATAGGAGGGATCCGGGACCAGCTGTTATTAAGACATCCGGACCCCTCCTAGCGCCGGCCCGCTCCAGTTGCGGGCCCCGTCTCAAAATTGTTCCTCTCTTTAGGCGACGTCCGGCACACGCGGACGCCGCCCCCTCGCGGCTGGCCAAACTAATGCGGGTGGAGGGGAAACCCACCCCGTCCACCCGCGGCCACACTCAGGGCGGCATGAGGCGGTGATAGGCGCGCCTCCGCCGCCCGGTTCGCCGGCGGCGGATCGGGTCCGAGTGGAGGTCGTCCTCCCGGGCCTTCTCCGCCCTCCGCCGCCTCCTTCTGCAAGATTACTTCCTCGCAGAAGGTTGCGACCGCGGTAAAACAACTGTCGCTACCGGCCATGGAGCGTACTACGGCCGGTAGCGAGAGATCCACTCCGATGACTGCAGTGAGGGCCCGGCGCTGCGTCGCTCATGCGGGGCAGACCGCCAGCGTGTGCTGGGCCGAGTCCTCACTGCAGTCGCAGTGGTGGCAGGCGGGACTCAGTTCCCTCCTAGCGACCGAGTGCAGGTACTTTCCGAAGCAACCGTGCCCGGAAAACACCTGCGTCAGCCGGAAGGTAAGGGTCCCGTGCTGCCGCCCTGCCCACTCGGCGATGACCGGCTGGAGAGCCTCCACGGCGGCGAAGCCAGCGCGTGGAGTCTCCAGCCGGAACGACCAACGAGCCATCGTGGCTCGGCGAGCGGCTTCGCGCCACTCGCGCACTTCCTCGGGCGGAGGGCGGAATCCGCTCTCCGCCCGGGAGTCAGCCACTCGCCGATAGACTTCGGCGAGCACTTCCGCCTCCAAATCCCACGGGGGAGTTCCGGCCAACGCGCACGCCACCTCCGTCGACACGGTGCGGTAACCGCGTATGGCTCTGACCGCCATTACCCTCTGAGGGCGCCAGAGGCGTGCCCTATTCTGGGCGGTCAGAGCCGCCGCCCACACCGGTGCACCGTATAGTGCCATTGACCGGACAACCCCCGTGTACAGCCGTCTTGTCGCGACGCTGGGTCCACCCAAATTGGGCAAAAGTCGCCCTAGGGCAGACGCAGCGCCGACCAGCTTTGGAGCAAGCTGTCGGAAGTGCTCGTCGAAGAGCCACCTCCCGTCGAGGATCAGGCCCAGATATTTCATCTGGGCCCGAACCGGTACGAGGACCGAGTTGACCACGATTGAGGCGCCAGGGGGTGGACCACGACGGGGCCCATGAAATAACAGGGCCTCCGTCTTATCTAGGGCCACCCGTAAGCCCAGCGCCTCAATGCGCCCGACCACCAGGGAGACTCCCCTTGTGGCCAGGCGCGCCGCCTCTTGGAAGTTTGCCCCCCGGGCTGTCACCAGGGTATCGTCTGCGTAACAGATTACACCCAGCCCGGGGGGGAAATCGGCGCGAAGGGCCCAGTCGTACCCTATGTTCCACAAGAGGGGTCCAAGAACAGACCCCTGTGGAACACCGCACGACATGGGCCGACACCTCAAATTACCATCTCGGTCCTCGTACACGACGGTACGCTCCTCTAAATAGTCTGCCACTAGCCGCCTCAGGTACTTTGGCACCCCATGATAGTGGAGTGCTTCCCTGATGCAGCTGAATGGCAGACTATTGAATGCGTTGGCGATGTCCAATGACACCGCCAACAGCACGCCGCCACAGCTCACAGCCTCTTCGGTCACGGCCCTCAGGCGCAAAATAGCGTCGACTGTCGAACGCCCCGCCCGAAAACCAAATTGGGCGTCCGACAGATCGGGGCCCACCTCGTAGCTTGCTCGGTTGCCCTACCCGAACCCTACCAAATTAAGTGTTTAGTAACTGGTTTTTATCAGGCAAGTATTGTCATTATTTACCAATATGCTCTGTACGTGATAATCATGATCAAATATTATTTCTTAAGTATATTTACTCAAGGTTATTGCGTCGTTGATAGAGTTATAAATATATAGTAGGTAATTATCTACTATCTATATTGACTGATTCATCAACCCAGACCCAAAACAACTGTGGCTACAAACTTGAAATTTTGGTAGCTGATGCTTTTAATGTTGCAAGTACCCACTGAGAAAGGATTTTTAGAAATGTCACCCCTAAGGGGGTAAAATAAGGGATGAACGGTTATGTGGAAGTTCGCCATTTTCAAAGTTAACACGAAATAAGGAAAAAATTCCTTACATCCTCATTCCAATTTCTATGTTCTAATCACAACCGAACCCTCTGTTCCACCACTCACACTTCCGCTTGTGTCCACTCTTCGTTCGTAATCCAATCTGTCCTTCTTTGGAACGCTCTACCTCTCGAAATCAGGATAGCACCCAGCCGCCTCTCATTTCAGATTAAAGTCCGAGCTCGCATTCTGGACACCCCAGCAGATTCATCACAACCGTAAAGTCATATTTATTGTTTGTGTATATTATATGTATGTATGTAACTCAGCAATTATATGTGTATTTCAGTATGTATTTATGTATATCTGTCTTAATGTTTATGTCTATCTCCTCAATGTAATTTAATTATTTTCTTTTTAAAACAAAACTTAATTTTTTGTGCACCTACTCAGACATTTCCCCACCACGAAAAGTTGACTGGGAGAAAATGGCTGCGGCATTAAGTTTACCGCCATACGAGAGAGTTGTAATTTATGCATAAAGAGTTAAAATAAAAAATAAAACATAAAACGGCGTGAGGGGTCGATGAACCCCCGGTCGGAACGAAGTTCCTTTCGCTTTTTGGTAGACGTTTGCAATCTATATGAAAAAGATGTGAGCTTCGACCGAACTGAAGTGTCGGAAGAAGTCTTGTTACACATTTTTCGGTCTCGCTCCCATCCGCTCAGAGCGTGTATAACGCGATCCTTATTGCGATAATGAACTTCGTTCAAAAAATCACGCGAGCGCAGTCGCATGGAATAGCTAGTCATAAATATAAATAGTAAATAATTTCATTGATATTGCGCAACCATTACAGTCAGATGCTTATCACTTATCATCTAAGTGACAATTGATAAGGCCATATGTGTAAGATAACAATGTAGGACTGTCTGTACCACGAGTTGGCAATTGTAAGAAACTGTGTAGAGATATGGACTGGAAGTTAGTTTTTTATGGTTTACATGCCAAATGACAGATGGGTAACTTGATGCTAAGTGACCACCTCCACCCATAGGCACTTACAACTAAGAGTCTCAAGTGAGATGCCGCCCTTAGAGCCAACCCTTCCCCTCCCCCCCCCCGGTTTGGAGGGTTCGGAATTTCGGTAATCTAACTCGGAGAAAAGTAATGAAATATTTATGTGAAGCCAAACCGGTTTTCTGTGGTGTCACTCTGGTTGAGCCGGCCATTTCTGACGAAGCAATGCTACTCTACTATTGAGAGAGATGTATATTTATATTTGTTTGGTATAAGTTGGATTTTGATTACTGTTTAATAAGTGTTTTTTTTATGGAATAGGGGGCAAACGAACAGACGGGTCACCTGATGGAAAGCGACTACCGCCGAAAACATACAAGTAGGTAGTAACATACAAGATTCGGTATCCGGCCCATTCGCCATTTTACTATCCAGTCCGATACCGGCAATTGATAGCAGTCCGGCAGGATATATAATAATATCTATATCCATCCATCCATTCAAACTCATACGTTTATAATATTAGAACAGATATTTTTTAAGCAAACAAGATGTCCGCATTTAGTCTACGTGTTTTCTGTGCCATAATTTTGAGCTTTACTAAATATCGGTCACGTGTAACATCCTTATTTGTATTTCAAATGATGTGAAAACTATTTCGGATATCCTGTATTAAACGTAGGTGTAGCGCTATACTAAAAGCATGAGTAAGTAACAGATAATATAATATTAGTCATCGATATTTCTTCAGTTTTTTGAATAATGACTGTGCAAAATTCCAGTTATCGATCTTTTATACAATTGAGGCCAATATACACATGTTCACCCCATTGACAAAGCTATTGTAGTGATGGTGCGAGTTCTAAATAGCTCAAGCAGAACTGTCTACAAGGCCATCTAAAGAACTGACCTACATAGTACTATTAATGCTGCATCGCGCATTTTTATTTTTTTTCTCTTTAGGGCCGCGGTTCGCCAGGTCCAGGACCTCACCTGGTCGGTGGATCTTCTTTTTGCGTCGGACATGACTCGAATACCCCTAGAAATACAACACTAACTAGGTTTCTATAACCAAAATAGATTGAGAGTAGTTCCTTACGAGCCAGGCACTGAAAACCAGGCACACTATGTACCTAATACTTCGAAAACACAAAAATAAACTGGTGGGCCGCAGCCGAACTTAAGTAGTTTTATGAATCAGAACTAGAGAGTCGTACTAGTTGAAGGTGACTAGCGGAGCACCACCACCAGATGAAGAAGATAAAAAGACAGTTCACAGGACCTTTATCTGCTGTGTTGACCGCCGGGATAGCCTCGGGGATAGCGAACTAACTCCAGTGACCAAATCAAAGTGGTTAGTCACAAGCAGGTGTTATAAGAATCCCATTGCTTCCAATAAATACCCTAAAGTCATACACTGGTATATAAAACACCGCGACAACATATATTATATTATCAGAATCCATGGTTACTATATAGTTCGGCTTGGCTTCGCTGAAAGGCGTTGAAGTGTAGTCTACTTTATATACCTAGATCTAGCCATATTGTCATACCTTACCTCTCTTCTTCAAGGTAATCTACCTGTGATACTGTCAGAAACAAGATTTCAGCTATAAAGTATTTACCTGGACAATGTGAATACATCCGCGTGCTCTCCAGTGCAGCTCAACTTCTCGACGAGCCTTGGTGTTGTCGTGAAGAACTTTCAGGGCACGCTTGGCGCCTGTCTTCTTTTCTTTACATTCTAGAACCTGAAACAATTTAATGCACAAATTAATGAAGTATTTTATGACATTATCGAATACCGATTTAAAAAAAAATACTGAGAGAGAGAGAGAGAGAGATACTAATTAATTCCCTTTCCGTCTGACCCAACTTTAGTTTTATATGTAAAATTATAAAATTATAGGGAATATGTGGTGATTCTACTAAAAACCACCCCGACGGCTGGCCTCAGGTGCTCTCTGGGAGGACCCGGACCATGTTATTTGAAGTCCTCCCCGAATTGTCAGCATGTCTAATTAAGCCCTATCACAGGGGAAAACCCTTCCCTCCCCCTCAATCCCATTCATGTATGTACTCTCTATATTTTTTTCACAATCAATTTTATAGAAGTCGAATTTTCGTTTTCATTTACTTTTACATTTGAAAACTGAGTTACAAAATTAAAGTCGATTTTTTGTTTTTCTTTTGTTTTAGAAATATTAGAGCTCCAAGCTGCGTTATAATTTTAAGGCATGATTACATGTAGCTGGAAAGCTTTGACTCACACCAATAGAAATCTTTGTAACGTTCGACGTATTCGATTCATTTAAATATTGTACCGTGAACCAAATTTGTTAAGGTCATCTGACTAATGTGTTTTAAATAAAAATACAATAAACCTTGTCTATATTTGCTGTACAAAGGTGTACTTAAAATCACTCAGAATTAGTTCAAATGACAAAAAGAATAAGTTTTTGTATTTGATCTAGCGGACAAAATAGAGGTTGTCATGCCAAATGTAGGAATATATTTTTGGCACCATAATTGATTGCTACAATAAAGCAAATACCTAAACTAAAATTCAAAAAGAAACAACAGTATCATAAGGAATATAATTTATAGAAAGAACGAAACAAAATACGCAGTATCATTGTTTTCACGTTTTTTTTATGCTAATACCAAGAATACATTGAAAAGAGGCCTAGTGCAGTTTATTATAGAGTTTATTTCGTTGTCGACAGCAAGCGCGTTCGGCGTTGCTATTGGTGCAGATTTCGGTGCGGGCCAATCGTAGCGCCAAACGCGGTCACCGTGACTATCGAGTAGATGTGATATAAACTCGTACTTGGCCCTCAGCCCTCGTATATTGCTTCGCTTCGTTGTATATCGCGATTGTGAAGTGTAAGCAACATCTGGAACAGGTCAGGATCGCAACTTTGACTCGAATCGTCTATTATCAGAGAGTCCCAGGCCTCTAAATTCTTATAAAATACTGGCCAGTGGCTTCGCTCGCTTGATTATTAAATAACTAACTTTCATGCCACCGTTCACCCCTTTTTTTACAATCATGGGATAAAATTTTCAAAAATCCTTTCTTAGTGGGGGTGCTTACAACATAAAAAAACTGTTGCCAAAATGTCAAGTTTGTAGCTCCAGCGGTTTAGGTTCTGCGTTAGTGAATCAGTCAGTCAGCAAGTTAGTTTCTATGTATGTATAGTATTTTTTTTTAAATGAAATATTTATCTTTTTCTTAAGATTTGTCATTGCATTCTTCAATAACTTAAGTTGTAAAAAACAAACCTAGACCTAAAAAAATCTTTGCGTGACCTAAGTTGCGAAGGCCACTAGAATTACACCCAGCTGTGCTGTAATCCCAAAGCAAAGTTATATATTTTTACACAATAAAACGGAGGTCATAGATACCCGGATGTGAATCGATAAAGCTTGCAAGGCCATGGAACTGCGAGATGCGCGCAGCCTGTCCTTGACGTCCAGCCCTGAAGAGAACAAGGTTGTGGGCATACAGGTCAAGTTTATACAAAGGGAGGATATAAACTGAAAGAGCTTTTGGTTGATAAAAACTAGTAGTTGTCCAGATGTAAAAAAAATCGACATGTTTACTTACTTTTCTAAAAGTAAAGACTTTTAGAAAAGTACCACAGATTATAATGCGCCTAAGCTATGATGAATTGTAAAAAAAAAACAATAGTCTTCATCGCTAAATTGTCCACCCAACAATTTTCACCCCTATAATAATATTTTTTCTTCGAACATGCGTGGGACCAAACGGAAAGTATTTGCCCTAAATGAAAAAAATAATTACAAAATCGGTGAAATATAAAAATAAAGTTTCAAATGACGGAGTTCTTAGGTAAATGAAACAAACATGAAATAAAAATACAATTGAGAAGCACTCTTTTTTTTGGGTAATTAATGCTGTTTTTGTTTTGAACGGTTAACGTTAATCCTGTCGATACTAAAGCTCTTTAATGCCTACTGAACAGAAAAGTAAACAAAAGCGGTCTACAGGGGACAATACGGTATTTAATTTTGTTTCTTCTTGCTCTGCTTACATACACATGAATATTTATGAAAGCATATACATACATAATTAATAGCACAAACTTTTACCCGCGGCTCCGCCCGCGTTTATGTCGATTATCGTGGTAAAAAGTAGCCTATGTTACTCGCTGATCATTTAGCTTTCAATTGGTAAAATAATTTTTAAAATCGGTTTAGTGGTTTAGGCGTGAAAGCGTATAGCGATTTCGTAGTTAGTGATGAAAACTGCTGAGTCTCAGGTCTTAATTTCGATTCCTATCTAATACGAATAATTGTGTAATGGCCACGATTATTGGCTCTGAGTGAATTTATAATATGTATAATGTATTTAGTAATACATAAGCTTATTTATCAGAACTGTTTAACATAGCACAGGGTCTACCTAGTGGGATCAGACGGCTGCGTGGGAAGTGTTTACTATTTAGTGACCTACTGTCGTCACATCCTCAGTAAAAAAAAATCCAAGGGAAGTCTAAATACGAACGAAGTTTTTTTCAAAGGGTATTAGAAAGGTTTATTTTCTATACTCAGGGTACAAAAGAATATCTTCCATATTTTTTCTTTTTATATATTTTTTCTGCTTTCATAAAACCGCTGTACAAAAGAAAAAGACAAATTCTACGAAAGTGATGATTGCTTTGAACGTGTTATGTTGTAGTGTTTTTGAAACTTAAATATATTAAGTTATTTTAATATTCAATTCCGTTCAGCTGGGGGGGGGGGGGGGGGGGGGCGAGGCTTCTCCAGTAAAGTATCTGTGTACACAAATAAAGTATTTGATTTTAATAAATCAATGAATGAATTTATTTTAACTAAGTAATTTATCTATAAAACTAGCTGACCCTGCAAACGTTGTTTTGCTATTTACATTATTTTATTTTTTCTATTTCTAAAATCCGTTCTTAGCTGACCTCTACTCGGTGAAAAGAATATTCCTACCAAATTGCAAGTCTTTAGCTCTAATGGGTCCAGAGATATCGTGATGAGTGACTATATACGTGGAAATCTCTTATATATATATATAGATGTATTTATCTATACATCTATACAAATAAATAAAATTGGAGTGTCTGTTTGTAATATTAAAATAACCGCTTTTTACTAAATGCATATGTATGTTTACACGGTACATATATACGGCGTTGCCCGCGGTTATAACAACAAACGCGGGTAACACCGCGGGTCTCAGCTAGTTTATAAATATAAAAGTACGTTTATCAATAGTCTGGTTATCTGCTACATGCTGTGCCAGTTTGGGATCAAAGGACCGTGTGTGAGATTTTTGAGTTTATTTTTTATTTTATTTTGGCTTTTTATCTCTCCCTTTTCCAAAACAAACTGTACAAATAAGTTTAATAATAATAATAATGATCATTGTTCCGATAGTCGTATCTGCTTACGGATTGATAGCCGCCAAGAGCCTCGACCAACACCTTAAGAGGCTCACATTACTCGTAGTCGGCTGGACCAAGGGTCTTATGCAAAAGGCAGCTGTCCTTGACACGGCCCGTATAGTGAGGAGGTTCCTATCTTTGGAGTCCTCACCACCGGTGTTTTGATCGGTGATCTACTATTTTTTTATATTTTTAAATATTTATTGGTGTTTAAAAATATAATTAAAATGTAAATAAATAATGATGAAGAGAAAGAAATAAATAAATAATGAGAATAACAATCATTTATTTCAGACCACAGTTATGTTAGTTGATCTTAGTACTACAAAAACACATGATGATACAAATACGATAGATGACCCACCAACGCGTTGTTTTGTGCGCGAATAGTGTAGCGACCTTGACCTCAATCTGTACAGCGTTAGACAAACAGTATATTATACAACGTATGCGATTGCTGTGCTGAGGTCTCGGGTTCGATTCCGGGTCGGACGAAATATTTGTACGATCTGCAAATATTTGTTGTGTATGTATTTACAAAAAAAAGTTAATAGGTATTTTATCAGTCTAGTCTAGTCTAGCCTTTGTCCTTCCTCAAGAATCAAACTATCTCCTTACCAAATTTCATCTAAATCGAATCGATCGCTTCCCATTACAAACTTGCACCTCGTTTCACCCTCTTAAGGGATGATTTCCGGGATGAAAACTATCCTATATCCTTTCCCAGTACTCAAACTATCTCTATACCAAATTTTATTTAAATTGGTTTTGCGGTTTAATCGTTAAGAGTTAACAGACAGACAGACACACTTTCGCATTTAAAATATTAGAATGGATACATACACTTGAAAAACATACCCTCCTTCTGGAGCAGTCGAGTAAAAACGGGGCCAGCAATGGAGATAGCAACAACTTCCTAAAACTGTCGCTTACGTCATTATTTAAATAAGACATTCCAACAAACAGGATAAAGCCATATTTACTAGGAAACGATACAGATACGTTGCGTAAATGCCGATGCGACTACGTTCAAGGCGTTTTTAGAAAAGACGTATATTGAGCCTTCGTTGCGTCACACTGATACGTCATCGGCAAATGTTAATTGAACCAGATACAATCAAATCTAGAGTTCTATTTGCAATCAAAGTTACGCCTTTGATATTTTAAAGATATGTGGGTAGTTCAAGGTTTGGATTTTTTTGGATTAAGTTGGACAAGGTTTTGCTGTAGTATTTTTTATAGTGTAGACAGTATTTGTTCAGTGTGACATGATCTTATTTTAGGCGTACTAGGGAGCAAACAAGCATACA